GAGAGATACACAGACAGATACAGAGGAAAGGAGACTGGAGGGATGAGAGAAGTGTTGCAAATATGAGCCGAGTGCTACAATGACAAACGTGCAGAGAGTGGAGGGGAGAGACACTTTGCGGCTTTGCCCTTTCACACTGAACAATTAGCGCGGCGCACCCTCGCCGGCCGAGAGAGCCAGTTAGATGTGGGACATCTGGTGACCCGTTTGGATAACACTATCTCTCGCCGGGCGCCGAGTGTTACCTGTCTCGGTGAGTCATCGGCTAATGCGGTGACTCAGCGGCTGACTAGTCACGACCGCGCTGATCGCCGTCTCAGGAGTCGCGCGGAGGAGACTCCCACGCAGGCATTTCCTCTGTCCCTCTGTCCTCCAGGACGAGCCGACGGAGTTGAGTTATACGAGTACAGAGGGCTTGCCGCCGACGCTGAGGACGGTGTGGACTAGTGGTGTCAATCGGTTACCGAAAATTTCGGTTACCGAAAATATATGCTGACCGATTTGGTAATCGGTCGGTCAGGCCCCCCAAAAATCGGACACTTTCGGTCACCCTGCCAGTGAAACCATTTTCAAAAAGAGAAAGTATTCCATTTTTGCCTAGTTAAAATGAAATTTATTGGGATGTTAATGATAGAGTTGCAAAATTTCCCCCAAATGTCAAATGCCACATTTTGGCAACTTCATTAGCCATCCCACCCAGCAGGCAGCAGCCACCCATTGTCCAACCACAACTACAAGCAGGCTGATTTTGACTCAGTTGGCCCCACAAGTACACACAATTTTGAAACTCTATTCCAGTCTAACTGTTAAATTTCACCTGTAATCAAAGAAGTATTGCCTGCAAAAATCATTATACAGTCATCAAAAATGCAAGGACAAAAATAACTTGAATTACTGAAATGTGTTTCTGAAGACTGGACAGTTACCACTTAGCACTTAGCAGTGATCACATTTACATTTCACAGGTGTTCTACTATTCCACATTCTCCTTAAATATTGCAGGTACCAACCAAATGTTTGAAATCTAGATGACCACAACATAAAAACATAGGAATCTTGACAAAAACTACAGATTCGGCCCATGTCCAATTTCTGGAATCTTCCACATTCCAAACACAAGGAAGGATTTCGAAACAGATGCGCCATAACAGAGACTTTAAACCAGCTGATTAAGTTGCTGCAAAAAAAGTTTTGGATTGTTACATGCTGACTCGTGAATTATTATTTTTTGATGTAAATGATCCAACACGATATTTAATTCTAATGAAATCAACATTGTGAGTGTAATCCACTACAAGAAAATTAATTTCCCTCCAATAATTCTACCAAAAGGGCATATAAATAAATATTACGTCATCATCATACATCCTTTCGTTAGGGAAGAGAGGATCTTAAAAAGTCAATCCTTGGTTCTTCTATTACTTTTGCGCCACTTTGGCGCCACTTTGTATTAGTTTTGTCTCTGCATATTTTGTTTTCTTGTAAAGATAAGAAAAACAAGAGATAAGACAAAGTGCCTGTTAATGAATTTTCATTTCATTTTTGGGACAAAATTCAAGCTCAGAGCTACCTAGTACCTGCCTTTTCAGCTGGATTTTCAGTGTCAAATTCTTTGTAGGGTATCTCAGACCACATCTCAAGGCTCAAGGCAAGTTTCCAAGCAGTTTTGATGTGTTTTGTGGTGTGTTGATTCCGCCTTTTCTCCTAGGGAATGTTGTCATGAACATAGATACCTATTACCAACCATTTGACTTGCTAATTGATCGTGCTTTTGCAACATGAATGAGCATTCTTCCTTACATAGACCACAGTAGATTCTTGACAATTCTAATTAACCAAATCTGTGAAATGCTGAGGTCCATGTGTTGCTACCCTCAGCAATGTAACTTCTACCACAAAATGTATTTTGCAGTGGCTAAGGATTGACTGAACTTGGACTGAAATGCCATTTCCCATTATTTTCCATCAGAATTTGCCAAATATTTTAATTTTGGGGTAGAGTAATAACAAATAGAATTTCGGTCAAATTTCGGTCAAATTTTGGCTTGGGATTTATCGGTCGGTATTCGGTCGGAAATTTTCCCCAAATTTTGGTTTCGGTCGGTATCGGTCAGACATTTTTTGGAAAATGACATCACTAGTGTGGACAGCGCTATCGTTGCGTCTACTGGAGTTGTGGGATGGTAGGACGCTTGTTGCCTCCTTCGCTGTGGATGGTGTTGTCGGCGTTAGCGTTACGCCGACTGGAGTTGTCTGTGGTTCGTCTGTGTGAAGCCTTGGTAACCACAAACCCTGACGCCTCTTGCTGTGGCTATAGCCCAACCGCATGCAGAAGGTAATGGCTGAGCCGTCTCACAATAACGCGGATGGTAAACCTGGCTGCACAGGCTCAGCGATGGAGGATTTCTCATCCCACCCCCACTGCGCGCGGCAACAGAGAGGCAACAACCTCGTGTCTCCCTTCTCCCCTTCCCCCCATTTCCACCACAACCTCTGCACTTTACAACCCCCGGTAATCTACTGGCGTTTCGCCGTAGACCCTCGGCGTCCTTCCTCACCCCACGACGTGTGGCGGCGGGTGGCCGTGGTGGAACGGTTCTTACACGTGTCCCCGTACCCTTCAATTAGCCGTCACTGATCAGAGGCCGCTCACGGTGTCATTATGCCGTTAGCTGGTCGGGGCGGTGCGTTGTGGTGTGTGTGTGTGGGGGGGGGGGGAGGGGGATGTTCGGGGAAGGGTGCTGGGTGGAATGGCTGTGCCCCGTGCGGTAGTGGTTAGACGCTGAGGTAGGGATAGTGAGCCTTTGGTGGCGAACTGTGGTCGGTGATGGCTGTGGCAGCGGTATTGGTGGGCTATGATGGTGTTCCATGACTTGCGGTCTGCCGGTGCGCCGGTGGTCTTCTGCGGCTCTGCGGCTGACGGACAGATAATCAGGCTGGTGGTCGTACAGACCGGTAGTTAATCCCGCGCCGCCAGTGGTGGTTGGGAGACGTTTCGCGGTCGTTTGATGGTCTCACTGGGATTGGAGATGATCCAATGATGGCCCCGATGGCCCACGACGTCAGAGCTAGTGGTCCCCCTCTGGTCCGGACCATTACGTGGTTCATCTCGCTGCGAAGTGGCGCCTGTCTGTCGCGACTCTCTGCTCTATTGCCGAGGCGACTGGCCGACCGCACCTGTGTCTGTCTCGGCCTACTGGCCTACTGTGGCACCAGGCCGGCTCTGTTTATCAGCCCTGCCCCCGAGTCTGCAGAGCAGCCGGCCGCCTGCTGAGAGACCGCCGAAAGGTGTGCCCACTGGCCTGTCAACGCTCCGAGGCGGGGCGGAGGGGATTCGGAGGAACGATTGGAGTGGTGAGGTGGTAACTCAAGGCGCTGGCGGAGCGAAACAGTGATTTATCCCTCGGTGGTGAGTGTGTGGGATTTGGAGCTGTAAAAACATGGTGAGAAGTGATGGGCGGGGTGAGACGAATGGTCGAAATGGGTGCGGATAGGGACGCCGTGAGGTGCGATTGTCAGAGGGTGACTTTTCTGTGGGGCGGGGAAGCTAGCGGCAGGTGGGGGCGCGCAGACATTGTGCGGTGGCACAGTCACGTCCGCAAAAGAAAGCGTCCCGGTTCCTCGAGTGCCCTCCCCGGCGCCGGGGCGCCGTACGCGGCCGCCTGCGGTCAGCCGCCGCCGCCGCGAATCGGCTGACTCACCCGTCTGTGTACGGCCGGGCCGTACGGGCGTCGTGCCGCCCGGCTGTGAGCGATTCTCGCCCTTACGGCCGGCGGTGAGTCAGCCGCCCGGCGGCGCTGCCGGCGGCCAGGGTCAACCCGCGCCGCCGCCGCCGCCGCCGCTGCTGCTCCGCCAATGACCCTCCCTCCGCTGTGCCGCCGCTCCGGCCCTCCCATGACCCGGTCACTGACGGGGGAGGGGAGGCGGGCGCGTGGGCGGGGAGGGGAGCCGGAGGCGGGCCCGGCTCTCCGAGACCGCTGGTTTACGAGCGACTGACGCCAGTCGGCTCAACCCGTCTCGCTCGTCTCGGCTCGGCTCGGCTCAGTGGCGGGGGTGAATCACGGAACACACTACCTGGCGCCGTGCGCCAAACGACGGCGGTCTGGCGGAGAGGGGGGAGAGGGGCGGGTCTGCTCTTGGTCGTGATGAGGGTTCACGGTCATGCGCAGTTCACGGCGGATGAAGAGGGTCCGTGCAAACAGGGCAGCGGTCGTTGGCGGCTGTGCAACGACAACATCCGCTCTCTGGCCGGCCTGGTGACGGCTGCGGCTGGTGTTGGTGTTTGCGCGGCTGGTGCCGGCTGGGGGTGGGGTGGTGCTGGCTGAGGGGGCGGGACGGGCCATGTGGGCGCGTGGGTGGTGGCACAGGGTACTGGAAGTCTTCCTTGCGGCCTGCGGGTAGTAACCACCGTTGTATTTTTGTTCTTTGTCACGATTTGATAGCGGTTTGACTGCAAAGAACGAAAATATTTACTCAATTGCAGATTGTTTACGAGAAAACGGCTGCCTTTCAAGAATCATATTGTCAAACAATATGATGAAAACACATTGTTGGTGCATCATCCACTGCCAAAGATGGCGGTGCACCGGTTGTACCCGATATTCTGCATTCTTCCGCCGTGCCTGTGTGTCAGTACGGTTCGTTGTTTGGCTGCACTTTGCATGCAACGCCATTTTGCGGTTTGATACACGGCATCCGGCTAAAAGTGCACGCCGTTGACGCGTCCCCGGCTGTTCAGCCGTGCACACAAACAGTGTCTGTGCACTGCGGTCCGTCCTGCCGACTTTAACACCCCTTCCTATTTCGTCTAATTCAGACACACCGACCGTCTTGCCCTGGTGCCGTTTAGTTTTGACACTACCTCCCTTTTCCGTCTAATTATGACACTTCTCCCTTGTTTCGCCTGATCTTGACACTTTCTCTCCCCTTTCCGCCTGCCTTTGATACTTCGGCTCCCTTATTTCACCTAATTTTGACACTCTTTCTCCCTCTTTCCACAGTTCGGCGCCGCTGCTAAGTCTTTCCAAAATATCTTCGCCGTGGAACCCGACGGCGCCGGGGCCGCAGCCCCCGGCGCCCCCGGCGGGCACTGCCACGCCCACCGCCGCCGGCCACGCCATGGCTGGCCTGGGGGACACGCCCACCGGCCCCCCAGGGCTCGTCAAGGATGACGCGCTGAAACTGACGGGCGACACGGGCAGCGTCACCTCCAATGAGGTCAGTGACATGGGGGAAGGTGGGGTAGTGGGTAGAAGGTGAGTGGGTGAGTGAGTGAGTGAGTGAGTGAGTGAGTGAGTGAGTTAGTGAGTGAGTTAGAGTAATGTGTGAGCGAGATGATGTGATGAGCTAATGATGTAAGTGATGTGAGTGATGCAAGATATAGTGACATGGGCGGCTCTTATGATGATGTTCATCAGGGAGGTGGTAGACTGGCGATCCTGCGCTTGTTTTCGTTTGTATTTTATATGTTGGCTTGCTCGTTTATTGCTTGTTTGGGCGATGCTGAGTTCGTGACGGTATATGACGGGGAACGAAGCTGTTCCGTATCAAAACAATGCAAGTAATTTCATTGATCACTTGTGCAAGGCGCCGGCGAAGCTCACGCCAGCGAGGCTTGCAGCTGTGCAACCTGCTCTAGGATGCCGCCAACATCATACCTTTTCGTCACTAGTGCTTGGCTTGACAGCAGTGCATTACAATTATACAATTAGTTAATTCACGTAATAACGATGTCATTTATCAATTGAGTTTTATGTTGTACAAAAGGCACTGTCACGCGCTGTCTTTTGGTTTACGTTATCACAAAGTCTGTGTTGTTAATCACTCGTAAGTCTACTGGAAAAGATCGCCGTTGAATTATTCAAACGACGGGTGTTGACGCCAGTGGGAGTGTAATAAAGCTGTCGGTGTTCCCACTTCCCACTATGCCGTGCGGGCCTGTGTGGGCGTCCCAGACCATGCGAGCTCCACAAGCAGAGGTCCCAGACTATGCGAGGCTCCACGAGCGAGCCACGTTTCATGAGCGGTTGCACTGTCGTGCACCATTGCACTCGTGTGCACAGCGTTCACCGCCGCGACGCCTCGCCGAGCGCACCGCTTGGTAGTGCAGGGATGATGCACCGTGGGGACTTATGCCATCCTAGCACGCATTAAGTGGCAAGTTAAAGTATTTCGATTTCCACTTTTTTGTTATTCATTCCACGTAGAATTGTCCAGCGCATCCGAATCACACCTTAAATCGTCTATAAAATGATTGTTTATGCCTCAAAAAACCTCTCAAAGTGTAGCTTCGTCCTGACCAGCGTCGTGCTACCTGCATACAGCGAAAAAGCACACTACAATAAAACGCCCTCTCACTCGTTTCCCTGAACAGCAGGTTATAGTTGCGACATGTTTTCATTATCTTTGACTTATAAGGAAGATGATGGTATGCACGAAAATTTCCAAAATTCATCCAAATGTATAATTTTTGACCGAAATGCTAAAAATGTTAAAATGCTTCTTGATTCAGAGAGTTGACAAGCAAACTATTGCCTTACAAAGTTTGATACGCGGTGTTACGCGTGGAAATGTATATCAAAATGTTCTCCAATAATTTCTGCATCGGGGGCAGCTCTCATTTTTTGCCGAAATTTGCCTAAACCAATCACTATGAGACGTCAAAGCAGACGGTGCCGCGTGGTTTCTTACGCCCCGCCGGGCCGCGCCGCGGCGGGTTACCCGACCGCAGCACACCGCCTGGGGGTTTCCGGTCAGTATAGGAGTTGGGAGGAGGGAGGAAGGGGGTGATACCATGTTGACATTATTTTTCTATCGCCAAATGTTCTTTTTGAACAAAACAACAACACCCTTGCAACGCTGCGTCCATTTTATTGGCTATCGCCGCCAATGTTCACCTTATTGAACTTCAGTACAGAGCTTTGATATAGGTAAATCGAAAAATGCTGTAACTTTGTCAAGTGAGGTTGGAGGTTTTTGGGGTGCTAATCACGAATTTCAACCTAGTTTTGATCAAGGATGATGTTTTCATGCTAGGCCGGGTCAGGTCAGGCCCGACCAGTAGGCGTCTTGCCGGCTATCCATAGAAGGTAGGCGTCGATTACCTTTAACGGCTTCGTAGCATGTTCCGTTAGGCACCAAAACTACTTAAATCTTCAAATGGGTGTTAAGTTCAAAATAAGCTCCAAGCACTTATCTAGAAAAATCGTATAACTTGAAAAAGTCAACTAAGGTCATCTAAGGTAAATGACCTTGATTTGACCTTAACGTGACCTTAAAATGCAAAGTATTAACCCGCGCCCCGTAGGGCTACCGGCGGACCCTACCACCCGTAGGGGGGGGGGCCGTTTCGGCCCCCCTAAGATCTCGGAAAGTTACCGGCCGATTTTCAAAATTCAAACGGCGTTCGATAGCCCCAACCGGGAACTACCTTGTGACCAAATTTCATTGACCTAGGTCAAACCGATGACGTCACAGGTCAGGTCAAAGGTCAGATTTTCACCGTTCACAGGCAATTCAAGAAATGTTCTGTGAAAGCGAGTAAATTGGTAATTTATTGAAAACCATCGATGGTACATTGTTCGTCAAACACATACTTTGCTATCTGAGGTCACTGATACCAGGTCAGGTCACAGCAAGGTCAGGTCACCGGGGGTCACAATATGAATGTGTCGTGTGATACATGTTTTTTGGTCCATTTTACATGACAAATGCGATTATGTGGGTTAGGCAGCCTTTGGGGCCAGCCTAGGTCACGTTTTGGTGAAGGTCAGGTCAAGGTCAGGTCAAATTAGGTCAAATTTCAAAGTTGATATTTTGCATAAAATGGGTATTGATTCGATGCAGCTCGTCACGGGGAGTCTAATGGTGGTCTTCGTTTTGCTCTACGAGTTCTAGAATTGCCAAAAATTGAGTTTGAAAATTTGACGTCATCATTTTTGAACAGTTTTTTCGCTATAACTTGGCCAAAAAACGAGGTATCGATCTGAAATTTGGTATGTGGATAGAAGACGGTAGGCACTATCACATATATTCCGGTTTTTTTCGAAACTCAAAAAACTTTTTGGATTTTTTGGTGAATATATCCAAAAAATGCTTTTTTGATTTTTGGGGGTCAAAACTCAAAAATTTCAAAAATTCGAGATAGCAGTTTTGTAGCCCTGTCAAATCTACACCTTTTATGTCTTGATCATTTTTCTGTATCTTCAAAGCTGTAGTCCTGACAGGTCTTCTCGCGAAGGTCTTTTTTCGGTCGAAAATGACAGAACATGACGTCACTCTGACGTCATTTGTGGCCAACCTATCATAGCCTCTGGAAAAAAATTTTTGGTCACAATGTGTAAAATTGATGCCCGGAGGGGTCCTGAAAGTTTGGTGGCGATATCTGCAGCCGTTTAGGAGATATCGACCGAAAAGGACAGGGGGGGGGGCGTTTCGGCCCCCCCTACGGGGCGCGGGTTAACAGCATTTCATACCTTGGAGAGTTAACAACCGCAACAAAAACGCGCCGATAATGTGCGCTGACAAGCGCCAAATCGATACCAGCCTGACATGGTCTGGTGAAACAGGTCACAGGTCAAATTTTTATTAAGGTCAAGGTCATGAAATTTTAAGTGTGTGAGTGACATTGATCGAATCGAAGGTATAGAAAGTTTCGTCGTGATCCGCCACGTTTTGCTTGAGTTAGTATGCGAAAAGTCGAGGACAGAAGTCTGTGCGACCCCCTCCCCCTTTAAGTGCAAGGACTAACAAAGTGCAAAGGTTAAGCCCGAAATGCGTTTTGGTGATTGGGCTAGACATGAACAAATATCTACTTCTAAAACGATTGTAGTTTCGTTCTACTTTTTTAACGCTTCCGCGCCCACGATGCATTGCTAGCCGAAAACGCTTCAGTGTTAAGTCCGTGGGGAGGGGGCGGGGGAGGGATGGGGTCAATCAGGAGAGCCAACCATGTTGTCAGGGATCATACACCCTAAGCCTAACCATTTGAATGTGAAATAAAATTAGTTAAGGTAGCGGAGGATGCGATATAAATAAATTCGTGCTAGGATCGATAAAAACCCCACAGTGGGATGGTGCACTGGGGCTCCCGGAGTTCTGGTCCTCTGGGGACCGCGCCCTGGCCCTAGTGCAGGGATGGTGCACTGGGGCTCCCGGAGTTCTGGTCCTCTGGGGACCGCGCCCTCATGGCCCTGTCACTCACTGGGCATGGGCCTGTCTGGTTTTAGACAGTTCTGTCTAGTAGAAGCCATGCCCGGCCCCAGTCGTGAACCCGTTTCCCTTCAATTTTGTTCTTGCAGTGTCCTAAATCATTATTTTTCGCCTCTGTTCAGGACCATGTTTCTGTCAATTTCTTTGTTTTGTCTTGTATGTGCCCCGTCCATGGCCCATCCCCTGACCTGGCCCCACCCACCCCACCCCATCCCCTCTCCAGTCTGTATACACCGGCCGTTTCAGCCGACCCGTATAAGGCCGTCAGACCGACCGTCCGGCCGGCCGTCACCAACTGATGGGATTGGAGCTCTCTGTGTTAATGCACCCGACGCCGGTGTGTTTATCAATGGAGACGCCCCGTGTATACTCTGTCCAGTGTTGCAAGGAGTGTGAGAGACGCCCCAGTGGACGCGACAGGGGCTGGACGGTTTCACCCGTGCCATGAGGTGCAGGGTGGCGTGCGGGGCATTGGCGTGGTTCAGCGCGCGGGACTGTGATTCACAGTGTGGATTTCGAGGTGCGGTGGCATGGTGTGAAAGACACGGGATTGTTTTGTGTTTGGTGGGACGTTTTTATTAGTGAGGTGAAAACAATAGGCAAAGTAGTGAAGAGGACACGCAAATACATCGCGAATTTCTGTTTTAAGTCATTGTTTTTTTTTTCTACGAAAGAGTTGTCGCGTGGTTGTTGTATAGTTTCAAATATTCCAGGGATTCACCTATCGCTAAATTTTGGAGCAATTTATTCAGATTCTCCCCGCATCACCAACCGTTTGATGAAATGTTGTCCGATCCTACCATCGGTTTCACCGCTTAGCTCAACTACTCCCTTAACTCCCCATTTCTCTGTGTTCCTGATACTGTTAGCCTGCCTCGGTCAACCCGTCTCGCTCTGGTGTCCTGCTCCAGCTCTCAATCCCATAGTATGTATAACCGTCCGTCCTGTCAATGCGGCGATGAGTGTGTGTTTCTGACAGCCCCTCTGTGACGGATGACCCCTCCCGCTGAGGTCGCTACGACCGGACACACGCCGCACGTTTATTTATGTAGCCGAGTCGCTGCCAGCACCCCCGGCCCCCCCCCCCCTCCCCCGGCTCCACCCGTGTGACGGGCGCCTCACGCTGCTAATTGGTGACCTCTGACGTCAGAGGTGGCGGTGGCCGCGGCAACAGGCGGCTCTGCCATGCGCGGAGAGGTAGTCTGGAGAGGTCGGTTTACTGATTTGGTGGATTGAGTGGGACTTAATTACCAATCGTGTCCCCGTTTTGATTTGATGAGCGTAGGTCACTGACCTCCAGCTCTACTTTATTTCTTTTGTATTTGATTCGTTTTTTTATGTGTGCGTGTTTAGTGATGCTGAGAGTGTTTGTGACGTTTTTTGTGGCCGTTGTGACTTGGCTGGTAAGCGCGGCCCTGACGGGATCGCTTGCTGACATGTGTTTGGTTTTTGTGGGATCAGTGATGTCTCTCTTGGTAAGCGATATTTCGAGACGGTTTGATTGATGGTGGTGGGAATTGAGGGCGAGAGATAACTGAATGCGTCAGAGCGGATTTCGAGGGATTCGGCCGAGTTTTGGGATCGCCGGACCGGCTGAACGACACTGGCTGAACTGACACCACCTGGAATCGGAACTAGTGGGTGTGGGATCCTACACTTTAATCCAAACACGCTAATTTTAGACTAAACACGCTGATTCATCCGTGCGTCAAAAACCTTGACAAAAAACGCACTTGTGATCCTTGTAAGCATTTGTTAAAGGGACCCTCCCACCTTAACATTAGATTTGAGTTGAGATAGCCAAAATGGGGTCCCTGGCTCACAATTACCGGTTTCGGCACTTACAACATCGAGAAATGCCTTAAATCGGAAATATTGAATTTCAAAATTGCAGCATTTTGATTCAGAGGGGCTAATGCATAGGTATACCCCTCTGAATGTGTGACGTCAGCGCAGATATCTAACGATTTTTAAATGTTTGACTAAAACGTTTTGTAGCACGCGGTGGAATATGCTGCTTAGCGCGCAACAAATGCCGCACATTCAAATAAAGTCGCTAGGAACAGCGAAGATCCCAAAAAGTAAACAAAAGTAAAAGTCTAATATCTTGAAAACCGGTGAATATTTTTCGTTGAAATTTGGTAGATATTCGTTTTTGCTCTTTCTGAACCGAGCGACATCACTTTCATGCCAATTCATTAACTTTTTTGAAGGTGGGAGGGTCCCTTTAAACGCACCAGCGAGTAGGCAACATGAGATATCTCCCCGGCGTCTTAGATGAGACGGCAGGTTTGGGGATAAGACGGGATGATAGCATTGCAAATGTTGCAGCGAGCGGCACTGTGGCGTCATAGTTTTTCATGCTCGCGGCGGGCGGCGGCTATTACAGCTATGGCACATGGTGGTCGTGTTTAGTCCAATGTTTGTTGACCTGGCGCGACCTTAGGCGGCGTTTGCAGGATCGGTGTCTGATGATGTTCCCCTGCAGAGTGACCTCATGTTACATCCGTCGCGAATGACAGAATGTTGCGCTCATTGCAATTTGCGGTGCTTTGATATCAGCGCATTGAGAACGACATGATGCGGCCCTGCAAAATGCGGCCCTTTTGACGCTAAACTACTCAGAGCGCCGCGCGATGGTTATTGCAAAATGCGGCTCTTTGAGTTGAACCCACTGTAGACTGACATGTTGATCCTGTTGCAGGATGACTACATGGATGACAAGAACGGCGACAACAACGACGCAGAGGGCGTGTGGAGTCAGGACATCGAACAGTCCTTCCACGAGGCGCTGTCCATCTACCCTCCATGCGGCCGGCGAAAGATCATCCTCAGCGACGAGGGCAAGATGTATGGTAAGTCAACGCGTCGGTGCTTCATTGTTATTCAAACTTGCTGTTTATTTCTACTAAGCTTCTGTCATTAGATGCTACTATATGCGACATCCTAGTTCCAGCGTGACGATTGAAAGTAACCGTGTCTTTGACGCGCGAGACGCGAGGCCTTGGCTCCGGTCCGTTAGTTTGTATTCGGCGGCGTCTCTAATGCTCCGAGATTGACAACTGCGAAATTGAATGCAGTGTTTCCGAGAAAATCCTGCAGATAAGATTCCTCGGGCGGGGTATTAGGTGTAGTTTATGCTTATCATAGCTCACAATGCCTTAGAGTGAAATATTCTACGTTAAATTTTCCGTGATTGATAGGATTGTGGGTTTTGTTATGAGATTCATGGGACGAAATCTCGTGCAACATATCCTGCATCATGCTCATCACTTATTACTGAGCACGTGCTACTCTTTCGGATTTTAGTAACAGAAACATTACAGCTCTGAGCCTCGGCCGTGACTGGGAATAACATGATCTACTGGCGCACGTGCGGGTGATTTTTCATGTCTCGGTCGCTTGGCGACATGCGTGGACCAAAATATTTACATTGGAAACTTGCCTGTCGTTGGGTCAGACACCAAAGCGCAGCACTTGTCACACTGCTTGTCTGCCGACGTTATCGAAGGAAGTCCGAGTGAAGGTCGCGCTCTAATCTCGGGGTTGTCGGTCGGACCACACTCACCAGACGCGTGCCACGCTTACTCACTCACCCACTTACTCACTCACTCACTCACTCACTCACTCACTCACGGTCGCTGGTGAGTAGAGCGTGGAAAACTGACGTGACGCGTGACGTCATGCGTCGTTACTCCCTCTGACGTTATGAAGTGACGTAACAAGGCCATGATTGCCGAATAGAGAATAGGCACCGGCTGCCGAAACAGTCTGCTGGGAGCATGACTGCTCGTTTTGGTGTATTACGATATCGCTTATTCCCTCATAGAACCTCTGTGGCTCATAAATCCCCACACTCCCCGCTCGCTGTCCACTGCTGACAGTTTATATCTCCAGTTCAGTGTGTTGGGTCTCTGTCGTGTCTCTGACGTCACCGTAGGGTGCGGTGAGGACTGTTTGGCCCGCTGCAGGGCGCCCCCGGTCGACCCGGCAGCCGGACGAAGGTCAGCCTCGCCCGTGTCTGTGCCGACGCTGCCGCTGTGTTTCCGCGAATGCAGCCGCTGGCACCGCGCCCCGCGGCCGGTGCCAGGAGCCCCCCCCCCCCGTCCTCACCCTCGACCCCCTCGGGTGCCTCGGTCAGCCAAGGTGGTCGGTGGACACGAGAGCGGGTCAGGTCAATGCTGATCTCAGCAGAGTGGTGTGAGGAGCTACGCAAAATCTTTGTCTTGGGTGTCTGAGCTGTTCTTTGTAGAATAACTGTCTTCAATTAAATTAACGGCGGTCTTTTATTTGTGTGGAAGCTTCAGTTTAGTTCTGGTGCGTTGGAACGAATGTAAAAAAAACTCGGATAATCTGGTTGATGGACTGACAAGATCTTGTTTACACTAACGTTATGTTGATACTTTTCTATAAATTATTACTACCCGCAAACTGCTCAGCCTTATATGGTCAACGAGCCAGCATATCGGGCGCAGGACCCAGTTTGTTTAAACTTTGTGTGACGTCAAAGATCCATGTGGCTGAACTCTGCTCGTGGTTTATCGCCGCATGATGGTATATCCAAGATTACTTTACGTGTATCATGATCAGAGGCGAAACCATTCCGGCACTTTCAGCTTATGGGGTGAGAGCTGAGGCTGGTGGCTGTGAGAGAAGTGAACAGAATTGCAATCTGCAATATCTTATGCTTATTTGTTTCTTTCTTTGCTTTTGTTTTGCTGCACATCTCAGCTTTTATCATTCAATTTTCAGCGTTTGATATCTCTGTGCGCTAATATTTGTTACCTTACCGAATATGATTATGCGAATGATCACATTATCATAGTTTTCATTGTTGGCATAGTCCACCTATCACTAATCCCGGCACATCATTTTTGTCGTGACATCAGCAGTTCTGCTGATGAAAATGTGACTCTGTGATGTCAGCAGCAATCAGGTGGATGATGGATGTGATGCTGCGCCCACCAGTGAACGCTCTTCAATGAACGAGTACGAGCTACGAGCTAGTCAGGAATTAGGAGGCCGATAAAAACTTTGTAGGGTCGTGGAGAGAATCAGACGACATCCCATTAAGTTCCTCCTCGACCCTGATCTGCTGCCAACTTGGCTAGCTCTGTTGACACTCCGTCTGCTTGCGCTTCCTGCTCCGCTGCCGCCAGCGTTGAATATCCTGGATCTGTTGGATCGTCAGATCCGCCGTCAGCGGCCTTCACCCCACACCTGGCGCGCCCTGAACCAAGACAGGTCTGGCTGTCTGCGACATTGGCAGTGACTGGTCTGCTTGTCTGACCGTCGGGTTAGCCGTCTGCCTCTCCGTCGAGCGGCTGTCCCTGTCGCTCACTCATCGTCCATGCTGACGTCATAGTTGTAGAACCTGCTGAGCTGACGCCGAAGTTGTCGTTGGCAGAGCACCCCTTCAAGCCATCCTAGCTGCCCTTCCGGCGGCAGGATTTGAGCGGGATGGAACAGTATCCTTGGTCTCCACCTGGCTCGATGGCGGCCGGTCGTCTCATGTTGCAGGGTCGTGCAGCGCGGAGCGGCTGCCAGTGCCGCTGTGGGCGGTGCCGGCCGCCTCGGCTGCAGCGGGCGGCCCGCCCTCCGCTCAGAACGAACCGGGTCGGACGGGATCGGGTCACGGTGGCTGGGTGAAGGGGAGGGAGGAGAGAAGTAGTTCATGAAGGGTGAAGCGTTGGCGCCTGGCGGTCGGGTAAAAGAAAAGATGGAGTTGCAGACAATTGTGTTTGTTGAAAGGGCTGTTTGGAGAGTTACACCGGGGGCCTGTCAGGTCAGCCTGCCTCCCGATGACGCTGCGAGCTGGGACAGCGCCAGCTCGGAAATCCCCCCCCCCCACTCCCCCCGGCGGGTGACGGGCTGGCAGCTGACAGCGGCCGTCCGGTCCCACGGCGCCTGATTCACGGCCGGCACAGCCGGAGCGCCCGGCACGCGGCGAATGCTCGGCACTCGGCACCGGCACGCCGCGTACGCCCGGCACGCCGCCCGAGCGGCGCGCCGTGCCGCCCGGCCGGCCAAGCCAGACCTGTCCTCTGTCGGCCAGACTGGCTGAGGAGTGAGGACGTCACGCCACAGAGCCTCCCCTCGCCTCTCGGTCCATCCCTCCGCCGTCCCCGCCCCCCACTCCTTCCTGCCCCGTCGTCGTTAGCGGCTGGTCCACGCCGACACCTTGGCTGGTGGTGGGTCCGTGTCTGTGTCGATTGGTCGAACGTGTATGGGTGTGGGTGTGATGCGTGGGAAGGCTGCGGTGGGGGTGGCGAGGATAGCGTGCGCCGCCACAGTCTGGCTTGTTGGTGGGCGTTCACAACGCCACGGTCGTCGCCACAACAGCCGCCCGCCCGTCCGCCGCCCGCCGGCCGCCGCTGCTGCCGCTGCCAACACACCACGCTAGTTTCCCGTGCGTCGCAGCGCTTCCCCTCCCCTCTCACAGGCTTCCACGTGCGCGTCGCGCGGCGGTCCGCCGCCCCTCTCGGCCGCGTCCTCTCGTTTTAATTAGAGCGGCTCGACGAGGGGACGGTGCCGGCGGACAGCTGCTCGACTGCTCTCTCTCTCCTCTCATATCGTTCTGCCATGGACCGGCTCCGGAGGGGAAGAGGGGAGGGCGGAGGGACGCGCTACCGACGATATTGGCTGGCGAGGATCAGCCAACCCTGCTGCCCGCAGGCGGGAGCACTGGTGGAGGTTCCAGCGGGTAATTCGCGACACAGGCGGGAATAGTCGGCTCAGGAAACGACCCTGGGTCGGTCGGCAGCTCACTGCGCCGCACGTGGTATTTCGGGCATGGCTCTCCCCCTCCCCCGCCCTGGGGGAGGTATTACGTCATCGGTTCAGGGGCGCCGACGGCGGCTGCAGGGTCACGTTTGGCTGCTCTGCCCGGGTGCGCCACTGGCGAATGAATTGGCGTCGGGTCTCTTGGAGTGGAACCGATGGACGGACCGCATGCAGCCGTGCAGAGTGGTGCCAGCTGTGGTGGTGGTCGCCGGGGGGAGTGGTGCCGTGACGCTAGTCTGGTCGGTCCCCCGCCCACACCGGCGCCGCGGCGACCGGCTTAGACGGCCTGATTGGACCCAATATTCAGCTGGTGGGGCCTGTGGTGCAGAACGTATGGCGTCAGGGCGATGAATAGCCGCGTAGTATTTCAACTATTATTGGTGTCGCGTGACGAAAATGTTAGGCTACCAAGAAACAACACGTAATTGAAATGAATTCATTGCAGGAGCTGAATCCATTTGCTCAAAGTATCATATGCTCTTCGACATCGCATTATCCTCTTAGCTGCGACACAGCTTTACAATACCCGCCATGTACTCGCACAATCCACTTTGTATTAATAGTGACTGTGCAAACTTGTTCCGACATTAATTAACCCGACATTCTTTGTCGACAGGACGCAACGAGCTGATAGCGCGGTACATCAAACTGCGCACGGGAAAATGTCGAACTCGGAAACAAGTCAGCTCCCACATCCAGGTGCTCGCCCGGAGGAAACTGCGCGAGATCCAAACCAAGATGAAGGTGAGAGGATGGGAGGGCATGGGAGAGAGGAGGGGAGGAGTGAGTGTAGCTGTCCGTTTTGCGCCATTTATTCTGTTGCTCAGCCGCACAGCAGTGAAACCAACTGCGACTGTTCATTGCGCTTTATGTTTGAATTCGTGCAGCGAAAGGCCATTTGCAGTGTTTGTGTTGCACGCGTGAGTGAAGTAGCATTCGTTGAATAGTTAAAATGCATGGATTTTCTGCAACCTGTATTCACGTTAAAAGCGGGTAAATCAAAGTGTTTTTGATTGAATAATGTGTGAATATGCTGGCTCAGACCGCTAGTATATTTTTAGCCTAATTTACCTTTTGACCGTGCCTCATTGACCTTGTCTGTTATTCAGTTTTTATAAAACGCCGCCTCGGAAGAGCGTCTGCTGTAGTGTTAGACCTGTTATATTGTTAACACTCGCCTTCCTCTGGCCTGACCGAGACCTCGCCCGCGCCCGTGTCTCTCCAACCCACAGCAGAACTCGTCTCCGCTGATGTCGCTCCAGGAGCACCACGCCAAGGAGAAGGCGCTCCACTCGGTGGCCGCCATGACGTCCGCCCAGATCGTCAACGCCTCCAACATGCAGCACAAGACGCTGCCCAGCTTCGGCCTGCCCGGCTCCAACTACGCCGGGGCTGGCGGATTCTGGCAGACGGGTCTTCAAGTCGGCATGTCGCAAGAGTGAGTCCCAGGGGGAAGGGTTGATGGGGGAGGGATGGGAGAAAGCTGATGTCATCGAGACAGAACGGCAGTTCTTCCGGGTGCGATGCGATACGAGTTGAGAATTCGTGGGCGTTTGATGTTCGGTGCAGACATGGAGAGGTTGTTTTTGTTGTGGGTGAGTGTCTGGTAGTGTTTCAGCCGCTATCAGACTTGCGGTTAGGGTTGTTGGAGGGGGAGGGCGGCCCACGCAGGGCGCACGGTCCGTCCGCGGCCGGTTGCGATGAGGTCGCGCTCCGATATCGTGTTCGGCGAATGTGCAGACAGTGCGCCGAACGCCTCTCTCTGTGCGCCCGTTCGGGGAACGCCGGCGGCGACACGGCCGGACGGCAGGCCGAGTGGCGTTACGGCCGCGCCGGCGGGCAGTGATTAGGAGCCGGACGTTTAACGGTGCCCCCTGCCGCTGGCTCGCTCAGAGCTCTCAGCACAAACGCGCGCCTCTTGGAATCATCTCAGCCAGCCAATGCCGTCCAGCTGTGCTGTTTATTCGCCCCTTGATTCGCCCTGGGTGGGGCGGATCGGGCGGATTTGGTCAAGATTTGCCAGTGTTTTCGTAGTTGGTGCACGTGCCTTTTGCGGCGCAGTGCCGCTGTTGCCCGGCACTGCACCGTTACTTGTCACGACCTGAATGAAATCGTTCCGAGAACAGCAAAGCGGCTTGGCGGCCGCCGTCCCTCAAAAACTAACCGGTCGCGACAGGTAAACGTGAGTCGGCTAGAGATCATGACGCGCTCGTATGGCATTCGCGGCCCAGGCCTGCTGCGGTGCAAAGGCCCCGCGCTGGCGGTAGGTTCCGCGGTGCCGCGCCCCATCCCTCCCACCCTCCTCCCCTCCTGACGGCCACCAGCCGCTCCCTGTGGTCCGCTTGGTGACTGAACCGACTGAGCCTTTCCTGTCCGCTGTCCACACCTACACGGCCGCCGACCGCAGGCCGTCCTTCCTGTCCGGGGGTGTGTCCGTGATATTCCCTATCCTGTCTGTGCGCGTCCTGCTGAGGATCCTAGTCACCTACTTTCGGTGCTTCCCTAGAATGATTAGTTGCCTGCTAAGCCGTTTACTGTTTTTCTAGCTCGTTTTAGCGCGTCACTGTTTTGGTGGCTCAACCACTTTTGTGTTATAACACTATTAACCATTTTAATTTTCACAGCATCTCTTTAAGCCTCGATTTTCTCTGTCCTGCACCCTTCCAAGCTTCAATTTTGCACCCCTCTCTAACCTCCCACCTCTCTCTCTTTCGACAGCGTGAAGCCGTTCGCGCAGCACCCGTACGGGATGGCCGCCAAGCCTCCGTCCAGCTCTGCCGACATGTCCCTGCTGGGTCAGTCGCAGCCGCCGGCGCCCGCCTGGGAGGGGCGCAGCATCGCCACTCAGAAACTGCGCCTCGTCGAGTACTCGGCCTTCATGGAGGCAGCGCCGCAGTCCCGGGAGCACCAGGCCGCTGCTGACGTGGTGAGTGCTAGTGATGGCTGGTGATCTTGTTGATGGTGATGGTTGTGAAGCTGGTGATGTTTGTAGTCGTTGTGGGTTTCTTGGTTCTGTGATGGTGGAAACATTGGTCCGTGTTGTTTGGGTTTGTGTTGTTATAACAGAGTTCTCCGTAGTGGTTGTGTATGTGTCCTTACGGTCTGGGCCGCTGGTCAGTGGTATAGTTTGTCCACTGGTTGGTGTGCTGTGTCCCAGTGCAGTGGGCTGTTCCCCTGGGTCGTGCTGCTGCCGCCACCGTTATCTCTGAGCTCCCGGGCTCGGGTTAGCCCTGTTCCGTCCATCCCTCTCCCCTGGGGCGTTGTTCGTGGTAGTGGCTCCTGCAGAGCGTCTGTTGATGGAACCCCTGTCCCTCTCTCCGGGCTGCGCTGATTGTAGAGGGGTCATTCAGTCAGTCTGTCATGAACTGTCAGTCTGTCAAAGGTGTCAGTTGGTAGGTCGGTACCTCATTCAGTCGACTGTCGCTCGGGCTATTTAGTAGGTGTGATCATCAGTTGGCACTAGCGGCGCCGTTTGAAGTTAAGCTCGCTGATTTCGTCATCGGCCGTTAGCAGTCGATCAATCAGTTGGTTTGCTCTGTCCAATCCAGACGCCGGCCGAGTAGAGTTGATTCTACCGATTCTCCTTCAAATCCACCCAATGGACCATTTTAATCTGCTCAACCTCTTTATCCCTGGACCTCTTTAGGCTCTCGTTGAACCTATGTAGACCCCAGAGTACCCTGGGGACTCGTCTGCACCATAACACTCTGTTGAGGTGTACGGCGAAGATCCGCCCCGGTCCCGACGGCGGCAGACTGGCGCAGTGGTGTTTACTTGTCCGGTGTTCCGGGCGCCACCGACCCGCGTCCCCTCGGGGTGGGCTCGTGCTGCGGTCACGAGGTACCGTCACGTCACGGGTCAGCGTGACGGTCATGAGCCGTGGCCGGACGCCGGCTTCGTGTGTGGTCCATTGCTGTGCTGTTTGGGATGCTGTGAGGCTGGTGGAGCGGTTAACTATCCTGGGGGCGAGTGGCTCTCCCTGGTGCGTGGACTTGGAGATTTAGTACAAAGAGACCGGTATCATTGCGTGCATGATTTACGTGATCGAAAACGTTATCTAATCATGACCATGGTACGAACATTGAACCCAGCTTTGAGATGAATATTTTTGGGCGTTCATCTGCAAAATACTTCATTGCGTGTATCCTGATAAGCATGAAGTTTCTAAATAATGCAGCTTAGATAAACCCTAAACAAGGACGAACGTTAGTTATCTCCCGACAGTTCAACGCTCCCAGGGATGAACTTTCAGATGCCCATTTGAACCCAAGATTATTGCGGTAACAGTGGCTGCGGTCATGCATTAGACGCAGGCCGTTTGACCCCAATATCAGCCTCCTGGTACTGTCTCAGTGCTGTCAGCGGGGCGTTGTAGGAAGCCGGCCCCCACACCGCGTGCGTGGTGTTGCACGACTGTTTTCCTGACCACGTGACTAGGGGGGGGGGGTATGGGGGCGTTGTCTGGGCCGTGGTCGGTTTTGTCGTGACTTTGTGGAGTGGAACTGTTGGAGTGTGGAATTGTGTAGAGTACCGTGTATTTTTGGTTTTGGTGATGAGGACTGGAACGAAATTGATGCCAGCAGAGTGTTGTGTGTACTGTGTAGGTCTGGGAATTAATATGGTTTTAGTTGTCCCACTATTTTGGACGTCCGGACCGCTCGCGTGAGCTCTATCTAGTCTGTCGTCCGAGGCGGCTGTTTTTGTGTGTCGTACAGCATTTTCGACTGTTGGCCCGGTCGGAACATGTCTTATCGGCGGGACCCATCACGTTCCGGTCCAAATGACTGTCGGATGTGCCTGACACGGGCACGGGCCGTGCCGGGACGAGACGTGACGCTGTAACGACGTGACGTGACGGTGGTGTGTCGTTCGTCGAATGTCGTTGGCTCTGTCGCCTAGTGTGTTTGCCTGGTGTCGTGATGCGTGTTTTCCTGACTGGAACGCCTTTGTTTCGTGATCTGGCCGTGAGGCGGGACTCCATTCAATTGTGATGTGTAGCCATACGGAATAGCGTTACTGAGTCAAATTATATGGGCTCAACTCTCTGACAACGCACAAACTCTCATCTCGGCTGACTTTATGTTTAGTCTTGTGACTTGTGACCTGACTGCGATGTCCGAGGAAAGTAGTCCTGCTGCTGTTGTATAGCATATGTCATCGCTATACTGGACGTCTTTTGAGTTAATTTGGCCTACTGATCATTCATGGTACGCTCACTGTTTCTGTCATGACAAATAAATCATTCTTAACTGCTATTTTCTCTCTCCGACAGTACAACAAACATCTGTTTGTGCACATCGGCGGCCCGGCCTCGTATGAGCCCCTGGAAGCTATCGGCATCACACAGATCTACGACAAGTTCCCCGACAAGAAGGGGGGTCTGCGTGAGCTTTATGACAAGGGCCCGGCCAACGCATTCTTCCTGGTCAAGTTCTGGGCAGATCTCAACACTAGCATACAGGTGCGTGGAAACGGGCGGGATGGTGAACTATTTTGCATAAACACAGATAAAGCAGGGCTCAACAGAAGCCTTTCAAGTTGGAATGTCTGATTTCCGGTCGCCTTATTATGCATTCCACTCGGGGATTTTTGCTTTGTGATCTTCAATCGCCGCACTGTAAACAGGAAACAATGGATGTTAAGTTGCATGCATGCTAGATACACTAAAAATGCGCGATTTCGGGGGCGTTGGGTGTCATTTCCTGTGCTGGAGACTGCTTTAGCGTTATCAGCGCTTAATTCTGTCTTATGTCTGGTGTTTTGTATAAGCATTCAAAGTCGCTAGGAGTTAAGCATGATAACGTTGTAGCTGCTTTACAATATTATCTGGTTTGTCGCTATGCCACATAGCAAATCCTCACATCTTGATCGTTTTCGCTCGAATATGCTTGTCATGGGCATCGCGTGGGGTTGTATTTCCTGTACTTAGTCTAATCAGCTAGCCTGACATTTAAAACACGCATAGAAAGAAAACTGACCCGTATTTCGACGTCTCCCCAACAGGAGGCGAGTGGCGCGTTCTACGGTGTCACCAGCCAGTACGAGTCGCCAGAGAACATGACCATCACATGCTCCACCAAGGTGTGCAGCTTCGGCAAACAGGTCGTCGAGAAAGTGGAAACAGAGTACGCCAGGTGAGAAAACGAGGCAAACGCGCCAGCGCCGGGGGCTCCGGGGTGTTTTTAGCAGTGATTAGACCTGTCTCATTGTTCTCGCGGATATGAGGAACTTGTTGGAGGTTGTCTCCTCCTGCTGTCTGGTTTGTTAGGGGTGTCGGGTTGTGTTCACGTGGGTTGGTGGCTGGTAAGGCGTTGGTTTTCCCACTTCCTGCGTTTTGTTCGGCTGGCTTCTGCTACTGTGTTTTCCTATGGAAATTTGTGATTGGGATGTTTGAGAGACCGCGGTACTTGCATTGGGATAGTTTTACCCTATGATTCCTGTGAGTGATTACATAGAGGGCACATTCAAGTGACCGAACGGAGAGTTTTGTTACTCGTTTGTAAGTTTGCGGATGTGACATGGCACACGGTGCCACTTTCCTGCTTCTGTTGTAACGAGCCTCTCCTCGCCTTTCACAGGTTCGAGAACGGCCGATTCTTCTATCGCATCAACCGGTCTCCGATGTGCGAGTACATGGTCAACTTCATCCACAAGCTGAAGCACCTGCCGGAAAAGTACATGATGAACAGCGTGCTGGAGAACTTCACCATTCTCCAGGTAAGCGGTGGGACGGGGTAGTGCCAGATGTAGCTACACATCAGCTAGCTGGTAGTCGTAGTCGATTTAGTAGTTCTCAGGCTAGTAGTTTGTTGCTTCAAGGCTCTGAAAAGGACTGTAGTTTCATCGCTGCAGTAGTTTGAACTTTGAATCACTGGGACATTGCTACAGAATCAAATAGGCGGTGCTGATTTAGTTCGTTTCGAGGTACTGTCGCTGGCTGAATCTTTGCTAAGCTGCCATCTCTTTTAAGTTCAGCCATTCTATCAGTTAAGTATTTCATCTATCATGATCTACGCTTTCACTTTCTTTCCTAAGTGCTCAGATAGTTCACTTTTTGTCTTTTATCTCAATCGCCTCTTTGCTGCCTAGCCAAACGCTGCTTATCTCTAAGCTTCCCTCGCGGGTCGCTCCGCCGCTCTTCTACCATCCCTCTGACCGCACGCCGTCCCCAGGTCGTTACCAACCGGGACACCCAGGAAACTCTGCTCTGCATCGCCTTCGTGTTCGAGGTGTCCACATCAGAGCACGGCGCGCAGCACCACATCTACCGGCTCGTCAAGGACTGATGTCGGCCTGATGCACGTCACTGACGTCATTGATGTGCTGCCGCCTAGCTGCGAGGGATGAAAGCTGATGTCACTGGAGTGGGCGAAGTCGGAGGATAAACTCTGACGACAGATGTTGGTGTTGGAATCATTTATCACCACCGCCGCTACAATCATCACATCACCACCGACACCATCGCTTCAGCACCACGTGTATCCGTCACCAGTGGTCTAACCTAGACCGTGGCAGACGGACTGGTGTCATCCCGCGGCGTCCAGGTACGACCGAAATTCGTACCTCCTTCGCGCTCTGTCTAAATGAGGGCCGGCCCAGGCCTCTGCCGATCTGCCAGCAAAGAGACCGGGCTGGCTCTGATCTCTGAGTCGAGAGGACCTCTACGAGGACTGGCGGGGACTGAGAGGACCCAGAGAGCACGCGCCAGTGTCAGAAAACTCGCGCCGCTAGAGGTCCGTGATAAGCCAGCGCACGTGCTTTGTGTCTGCGCCCGTGTGTGTGCTTGTTTGCGTGCGTTGTGACGATATGTCGGGAGAAGGAATGTGTTTGTGTACATAGAAGAGCCGCTCTGCGGGCTCGCTGTGTGGACGGACGGGCTCTATGTGTGTGAACTGAGCGCCGCGCGGTGGGCGCGTCTGCGGACGGCCCGCCGCCGAGCCGCCGTGCCTTTCGGCGGTCGCCGGCCGTCCTCCCCCCCCCCCCCCCCCACCCCCGTGGCGGCCGTGTCTTTCAGTGCAGTCAGAGGTCGCCGATGCAGAGCTAGTGCCAATGGACGGCCGGCGGCGCGTGAGTGCCCTCCCCGACCACCTCCCACCTTCCCACCTGTCCCCCGGGTCCACTGTCCCACCCTGCACAAGAGGATCACTGGTGTGCCTTCACTAGCTCCATTACTCTTACACGGCCGGATTGAAGGCTCTGCCGTCGATAAACTGATTAGGCTTGGATGATGTTCGGTGCAGGATGTCTAGATACGATGGACCCTACTGGATGCGGTGCGCACTCTGCCTATTTTAGAGTTCTCTCTGATACTGGCTACGGCGCGGCCGTTGCCGCCATGTTGTTTGGTTTTAAGTTGTGTACCTTTAGTAGTTTGTGATGATTGCAATATTGTTGCCGGCATTTTGCATATGGCGCTTCTAGGATGGTTAGAGATGCGCCCCTCGGGCTTCTATGACATTATTTTATCGGTTTAAGACTGGCATTAGTTTTGGATCTTGTCTGCGTTCCCGGATATCGTACTGGCTGGCGCCTGTTTGCGTCGCGCGCGCCACCTATTGGCAGCGCATGTAAGCTGTGGTTGCAGCGAGCGCCGCTGATCGGACCTTTGACTGGCGGGTCGCAGAGGAGCCTGAGCGGCGGGCGCACGGCGCAGTACGGGAGACTCTGGCTTGTCGAGTGAGGCGGTCTCGTTGATCTCAGATGGCCGCCGGCGATGACCTTGACCCGACCTGAGCTCGGGTCACGGCCCGGCCCGCCAGCCGCCGGACGGACGTATTGTTACAGTGTTGCTGCCTGCCTGCCTGCGGGCCGCTGTCCCTGGGTGGACTGGCAGCCCCGCCGGTACGGGCGGAGGGGTGTGAACGCGTGTGTCGACTGTACTATGTGCGGTAGCTATTCGGTAGATCGTGTCCTTTTGTACAGGTGTTCGCCCAGAGAGTAAATTATATGGAAATCCCTGATACTGTCTTTGCTGTTCACGGTCATGGCGGTGACAGAATGGAGGAAGTCGCATTGTCTGAGATACCAGACTGGTGCGAACCTATGAAACAAAAACAGGGAAGGATATGGTATCCAAGTCTGCGCTCGGTGGGGTGAGAGTATCCTAACCAGAAGGACGCACCCAGTTCTCGCAAAGACGGTCACCCTGGTGGCCGCCGGGCTCCTGGCACAATGGTTCATCCCCGTGTGCAGATCGACAATCAAAGCCGGATAGGGGAACCAGCATATGTGGGTCTACACTCCACACTTCTATAGGTGATAACTCATCACGGGTGAGCCTGGATAAGCTGATGGGTAGAAGGATGAGCATATGTCTATCACCAACACCTTCGTAATTGCGTTAAAAAAACGGCTGTGAGTGCTCATTGCAGCAGATGGCATTACACTGAAAAAGAAATCACTCCATTAACCCGGAACACCGACGGGGCTACGCACCAACTTAGAACCGACGGGGGCGGATAAATATCCAACCTTCCCCCCCCCCCCCCTCCGAGATCTCGAGAACCAAGCAAGATTGCGACAAGCGGTAAACGGCATGGGGTACACACGGATAAGTTCTACAATTTTTACTGAAGTCATTTTCAGACCAGGTCAAAGATGACGTCACAGGGGTAAACAAGAATAGCGGCACTAAATATGAAGAGTTTTTGTCGAATAACTTTCGGAGTAACCAAGCTAGAAACAAACTAACAGCGTCATCGTGATCCTCTCGTCGGTCCGCATCGAAACATATATGTTTAATTGTTTACCTCGAAATGTCAAGGTCAAAGGTTGATCTCAGATCACGTGACCTCGAGGTCATTATACGTCATTCGATGCGCCGTGACAAGCTGAACACAATGAGACCATCCGTGCGACTGTGTCTCGTTTCTGTAAGGAGTTACTAGCAAAAAAAACTTTGGTGACCTTTGATGACGTCACATGACCTTACATTTGCCCCAAGAGCAGAAAAGGCCTCAAGGTAGTCAAGGTTGATCGTTGTGTATGATGTCATTCATGGTATTTTAGGCCATTCCGACGCGTTCTAGTAAAAAATCAGGCAGTTGATTTTCTCATATTCACTTATAATTGGAAAGTCAAGAAATTGACCTGACCTTAGGTCATCGATATCGGAATACCGAGATGACCAACTGTAGCTACTAATGAACTCATTACATCCTGCAAGTTTCAAGGGATTCTGTCGTCTACTGTAGCTCTGACGCGGTGACAAAGTCGCAAAAAAGTGATTTGAGGTCGGGTCATTCGAAGTGACCTGGTGACTTGGCCTTGAAAGCTAGGAGGCTCAAACTTGCACAAAATGTGTAAAATTGATGGGGGAGTAGTCATGCCAACTTTCGTGGCTCTACGTGCCGCAGTTTTCCCGCTATTTACGAAAAACCTCGGGGGGGATCGGGTTGGATATCCGCCCCCCCCCCGTCGGTGCGCGGGTTAACGCAAAAACGAATCGCGCCCCATTAACCCCTCGAATCGACACTCGCAATACCCCTCATCTACACCACAGGGATGCGTAGTGCGTACTACTGGCCTACGGCATTGCCAATTTGGCAAAGTGTGTATTGTGTAAATGGAACAGTGCGATGCCTCCTTCGGATGAGTCAATCTCAGCATGTTTCTATGGTCCGATTATTTACTAAATGGGCTAATTGCGCTTGTGACCTAGCATGTGTGAACAAACTCTGAGGCTGTTGTGTATTAGGATGATGTCTCTTGTGACGTCATTTACTCTGCCTGGATTTAGAGAGTGTGCCTCATATGGAGAACCTTGGAAGTTGTTGTTCTTGGCCTTGTGTAGTATGGAAGAAACGTTCTGAGTAAAAAGGAGTCTTTGGAGTCAGCCAAAAGCATGAAGTACAATCGGAAGTAGCAGAATAAGGAAAGTACTGACCACTCGATACACAACAGAGGCCATGATACCTAGCTAGACGATTAACCTTCGTCCCAGTGGGGGGGGGGGGCATATGTTACCACCCTGTCGCGTTTTTCGCGTGTGAATAAAAAACCGCGGCGCGTACCGCCGCGCCGCTTGAAGTAGCTTTCTGTACATCAATTTTGGACAATGTGTGAGGTTTTTGACCTCAGGTCATGTCAGGTCAGGTCACCAGGTCAAGTTAGCTGACTAAGCCTAAAAATAAAAAAGTTTGCAATCGTGTCCAGCCTGCAGTGTTTGTCAGAAAGGTTTTAAACTTGGAGGATTGCATGATGTTATGGGCGTCTATAATGTGTATATCTCGGATTTTTTATATCCGTGACCTAAGGTCAGGCCAGTGGCGTGACCTTACCATTATAAGTCAATGGAGAAAAATGAAAATGCCTCTAGATCCGTGTGTACGCATAGGAACAGTCCAAATATTTCAGAAATCAGAATCACAATGATTTGGACCACCCGTGACGACCAAGGTGTCTTTTTTGCTGATAGCCTCTAGAAAGGTCATCCGAGGTCATTTGAGGCTACAAACAGATTTTTGCCAATAACTCTCGATTGGAAAGAGATAGGACGCAGGGGATGGCCTCATTGCGTTTGTCTTGTTGAGACGCATCGACTGATATGTAACATGACCTTTCCGGTCAGGTAATGACCTTGACCTGAGGTCAAATTTTCAAGTTGTCCTTTCAAGGTCAGATTATAGTTCATTCGACGCGTCTCGGCGAGAGGAACACGATTCTGGCAATAGAAATGTCGTAGCTTTTTTAGTCAAAAGTTATTGTCGAAAAACACTTCGTAAAAACAGCTATTTTTGGAGTTTTTGCCCTCTGGAGGCTAAACCGTTGACCTGAGGTTAATTTTGATGATGGCCTTATCAAAAGAAGAGTTCAAAAGCTGTCGATTGCTTTTCCATGCGTTTTTCTAGCTATCATAATTCCTGAGATAAATGCATGTTTTCTGAAAAATACAGTGACATTTGGCAAATTTTGACCTTTGATGACCTCCAGTGACCCCAATATTGCTCTAAGATGAAAAATGACTGAAATAGTTTCAAACGTACGCATTGAGAGCTATCGACTGCTTTTTACCGCGTCTTTCTAGCCCTCTTAGTTTTTGAGTTAGAGGTGGGTGGTAACATATGCCCCCCCCCCCCCACAAAGGTGAAGTTGGCTGAGACCGCCATTGGGGCGCGGGTTAAAAAGTCACGAACACTGTAAATGACAATTTTTTCGTACGTTTTGATTAAAAAAAAAACATTGGATGTCTCCCCATAATGCGGATCGACTGATATGCAACAGACAGACATTTTTGGTCAGTTTATCACTTTGGCCAAAGGCAAAATTTTCAGGTTGATCGTTCAGGGTCAAATTATACTTCATTAAGTGCGCTTCGGTGAGGGAGACGTGCATCTTGCACGTGGTCTTGCAAGCCTAACCCTCACAATGTAAATGATTTTAATGACCTTTTGGACGCCGCTCTTCCCTTGTTAGTTGTTGGCACGCACTGGCGAGGAACCGAATTGGAGGATAGCGTAAAGACGGTACCTTTCCTTCGCTTTGGTGTGTTGCTTCGTACCACCGGCAGTCGCCATGGGCGGGATAAAAACCGTTCAATATACTGAAGTTCTTGCCTCTATAGGCTCTAATCTCTTCAGAGTGGAGATGAATATGCAATGCATATGCATGATGAATCTTAAGAACTTTACCTAACTTAGCAGAAACGACGATGCATCTTATTATTACGCGCACTGCAGGGGGGGTTGTTTTCAACCCCCCCCCCCTGTGGTTTTTCGCAAATTGCGAGAAAACGGCGGCGCGTAGCGCCGCCAAATTTTGCATACCTGTTCTCACAACTTTTGCACACCTTGAGTAAAAATTTTAACCCCAGGTGACCTATGGTCAGGTCACCAGGTCAGGTCAAGTGACCCTACCTCGAAACGTAAATTTCGAAGTTTGCAATCCCACCAAGCCCACAGTTGTTGAGATATGATCTTGAAACCCACAGGAAATAATAAAGTCATCACGAGCTACAACTTGTATATCTCGGAATTTTTATATCGATGACCTAAGGTCAGGTCATTTTTGCGACCGGCCCATTATAAGTCAATGGGAGAAATTTCAACTTACTCTGAATGCCATCCTATGACTTCAATACGCTCAGGATCATAGCATTACAGGTCCCTGTTGGTGATTTCACCGAAACATATCACTTATGACCTTTGGAAGGTGATCTCCAGGTCATCTTAGGTCACCTGAGGTCACCAGCGGTTTTTCTTCAATAACTTGAGATTGAGTAGAGATAGAGACTCCGTTCGACGTTTATCGTGTTTTTCTCGTCAATGCGGATCGAATGATATGCAACATGACCTATTTCGGTCAGGTCATGACCTTGACCTGAGGTCAAATTTTCAACTTGACCTTTCGAGGTCATATTATATATCATTCGATGCGCCTTGACGAGCTAAGAACGATGGCGTTCGAATCGATCCTCTGTCTTGTGTGCAAGACAAGTTATTCAAGAAAAACTACCGCGAAATTCCTGTTGTGAAAATCGTAACATTTTGTCTTCGGTGACCTCTGGTGACCTCGTGTTTGACCTGACCCAAAAATGATCTTTGTATTTCTTGTTGATCTCATCTTAACCTATCCAACGCCGTTTACCGCTTGTCGCTACGTTGCGCCGTTTTCGAGATCTCAGGGGGGGTTGTTTTCAACCCCCCCCCCCCCCCCTGCAGTTCGTGTTCGGCTCAGACCCGCTGCAGTGCGCGTGTTATGATCTGCGCTGCAGCAGTGAAGCCGAGCTTTTCAAATGCTAACACCCCTGGGGAATATTCATATGAATGAGCATAGTCGATACAGCTACCTCGCGTCCTGGTACCACCCCCGCACCTGTCAGAAAACTGAAAAGGCTCGCTGAAGGGGACGCATGCGCGACCCGCGACGGTTTCTGTCGCACTGTCCAGCCCGGGGCTTTTAGTCGTGACTATTTGGTCGTGGTGACCACACCTCTTCGGTTTGAGTAACGGCTCCGGCCCTGCTCTCACGACTCAGCCTTATATGTGATAACTATTGTCTACTCTCCTAACTTCCTCGTCGCCGTCGTCGCACAGACGCCATGTCGGGCCTCCGTCGACCGACGGCCAGTCTCAGTCGACCCCCATCCGACTACACCCCGCCGACAGAGCCCGCTCGGCGGTCGGCTCGACGGGACGCCCGCGCTCGGCCCGGCACCGAGGACGGCCCCCGGGGGAGGACGGAAGAGGACTGTCCTCCGCGGGACGCCCGTAGTCGGTGGAGGATGTCGAGGAACCGTCTCCTGGCCGCCGGTCGCTCTCCGGGCCGTCGGCCGACCGCCGGGGGCGGGGAGGAGTCCGATGAAGAGCTGACCGAACAGACCTCTCACCGCGTGCGGATGCAGGCCCGTCGTACCCTGGTGCTGTGTCAGAGGTCCGACTGGGTGGCCGTCGATCAGAGCCTGAAGAGCCTCGAGAGGGCTGCGCTGGAGGGGAGGCTCGGACCCAGCCCCCTGCAGGGCATTGTCGATGAGGTGAGCCGGGCGAGACGGCAGACTAGCACATCTGTTTATGTATTTATGTCGATTTTTGAAAGATGTCGAGCTTGTTAAAACTTAAGTCTCCAGTTTGGCAGTTTTTTCGCTAATTTGTTAAATTGTTTGTTTGTTTGTTTGTTTGTTTGTTTGTTGGTTTGTATGTTTGTTTGTTTCGTTCGATTAACATTAAACATTAGACATTTTCCTATATTAATGTAATGTCATAAAAAGATGACGATTGAATCATTATTGTAGTAGCCAGACTAAACATTTTTAATGAACTTATTGCCTTGATCGACTTAAACTATGCTTTGCTTTAGACCTGTGAATATTCGCCGATAATCGCATTTATGAGATTTATCTAATTGCCTACATTACGTCTGTTTTCAGCGGGAGTTTACTCCGCTGATGTTCGCCGCTAGGGACAACCGGCTGGCCGTCATCGATAAAATGATCGAGCTCGGGTGCGACATCAATCATGTTAACCAGGTAAAATACGGTTTGAGACCATTGTCCAGTATGTCGTGTTATAGAAATAACTTTTTTATTTTCCTGGTGTAACGGTGTTTTTATCCGCACCTGTTGCTTTTTAATTCCGAAATATAGGTAGGTATGCAGTGTGCAAAAATGCTGTACCTAAGTCGAACTTCTAAACGTTTCCCCGGATCGTTTTGTGGGTGCAAAAATATATTCATGACATTAGAAAACCTGAAACCATTATGTTATAACACAGGTACAATTATTGTATGCAAAATGTAATATTGCGTAATGTAAGACTAAGGCTTGTAGTTTGCACCGTTTCCAAACAGTGCATTTTTTGGAACGCTAAGTATCAATGTTGCATTACACTTTTTGTTGATAGGATAGGGCATAGGCTGGCTAATCTACATGACATGGACGTAACGTACATAACGTAACACCTAGCAGCACCTGATTGATATGTTACGTGACACCGAGCCAGTTTTTATTTTGCCATTTAATCCTGTGAAACTAGTGTTCCCTAAATATGATTTTCGTAAGTGCTACACTGCTACCATAAACAGTCCAACGGATTGGCTCCAACTGGGAACGTTCAGACGCCAGCTTGTGGCAGAGCCAAGGTCGGAAGTCAGAACTCGAAAGATATCGCGACCAACCGAGAAAGGCATCCGAGCCAGCCGCCGCATCGACCACGCTGCTTGGATAATAATATTCGGCCGCGTCGCATCGCGTGCTGTTCCATAAAGGCGACAATGCCACCCGCTGGCACGGAGTAACCGACCGTAACGACGAAACTGCGCCGGTGAATATCCTGCGGGTGAGTCTCGTGGCTGGCGCTCTGAGGCACCGCCGCACAGTGGGCGTTTCAAGGGTTCTAGCCTCTCACAACCTTTCAACCCTTATAGCCTTGGATCTAGGAGACCTACGCCTACGAATTACACACCAAACTGTAGCAAATTCATTAAAGAACGTGAATGCATGACGATTTCCCATGTTATAAGCTTTCGCAATGTGCAGTAACTGCATGAAATGTTGCATAAACGTGGCAAAACGGAGCACTTCCATTCCCCCTTGCGGTTTGGCCCCTGATCGAGCTAGAGCTTCGCGGAAAAAACGAGGTTGCTGCCCGTGATGAGAGAAAGCTGATGATAACCCAATTTTAAGGTCCTAGGTCATTGGTTGACCTTCCAGGGCAGGTCAATTTCCCAAAAGTCGGGAAAATCGGAACCTGTTAGAACATCGTAAAGTGAGGTTGCTTTGGGGCTTTTCGGGGTGCCGATCACGAATTTCATGCTAGTTTTGATCACAGATGATTTCGTCATGCATTTAGGCCAGGTCGGGTCAGGTCAAGTCAGGTCAGCTAGTATGCGTCCTGCCGGGTATTCATAGTAGGTGTCAACCGCTACTGACAGCCTCGTAACATCATACAAAGGCACCAAAACTACTTCGTAAATGCTCAAATGGTTGCGAAATTCGAAATCAGTTCCAAAAACTAGCCTAGAAACATGTAAAACTCGAAAAAGTGAACCGAGGTCACCAAAGGTCAATGAACTGACCTGACCTTCAGGTGACCTTGACACCCAGCATAATGCATGGAACCAATATCATTTCACATGGTTGAACGTTTGAAACCACAAAAAGACTGCAAATGCGCGGATAATGTGAGCCGACACACGCCGAATCGCGATTCCGGCCAAACATGGTCTCGAGAAATAGGTCACAGGTCAAAGGTCATTGGGGTCAGGGTCATGAAATTTTCAGTGTAGGTGTGAAATTGATGAACTCGAATGTACTGAAAGTTTCGTCTTGATCGGCCACTTTTTACGCGAGTTATTTGTGAAAAAACGAGGGTGGTCCGTTCGACCACCTATAAGTCCGAAGGTTAAGGTTTTGAGTCGTTGACCTCTAGTCAAAGTCTGGTCAGAGTCCCTCAGGTCACGAACTTGGTCAAAGGAGGGCGACTGTCTAACTTACTTTGTTCCGGAGTTATTGACGGAAAACTAATATGGCCCTACGTCATAAATGACGTCATGCAAGGTTAGCAATGCAAAGGTGTAGCACCGTACCTTGCAGGGAGCGCATGAAACCATGATTCCATGTGCTTGAGATAGTTATAGATCATTCCTGGCGCTAAAATAACAGCTTCCATATTGTCCTCATTGACTTATAACGGTGAGATCACGCGACCGACCTGACCGCATGTGAACTTTAGCAAAAAATCCGAGATATAAATATACATATTGTGAGACCTCGGGGTAAGCTACGTCCTGAAATCTTCATCTCCCTGTGAACGTCCCTCTGGCACTGAGGGCGTTGCGACGTTGCAACATCTGAGGACCGTGCAGAGGTTCACTTATGACGTCATAGGTCAGCGACCTGACCTGACCTGACCTGAAAATGCGGTTGATTTAACAAGATCCGGCTTGAATCAAAGGTCAAGTACGCCAAGTTTCAGCTCTTTATCGCCGGCGTGTTGTGAGCTATCGCGTTAAAACCTATAAGGGGGCGGCACCCCCCCCCCTCCCCCTCGGCCTCGGGGGGGGGGGGGGGGTGGCGTGACTTATGCAGAATTTCCCATTAACTCATGTGCAATACTTCTCAATTTTTTTTTAGGACACAAAATGTGTTTGAGGTTTCGCGAGACCAGACCGGCCGGATCGCCCACTGTGCATCGCCTGAGGCCTTTCCGGTCACGTGACAGCTCATCCTCCGGTCAATTAGAATGCTTCTGACCCACGAGATAACACTGGCTGGTGTTACTGTCATCACTTGAAATAATATAAGCTAAAATGCAGGCTGATTTGTTCGCTCCCGTCACTATGGAGCTAATAAAGGCTAGACGGCGTATTGCAAAATGTTGCATAGCAGCAAATGGCGCAAGTTTGCGCACTTTTTTATTGCTTGGCCGGTTCAATAACATCACAATGCACATGGTGACACTCGATTTAGACCGGGACCTGGGGGAACTCAAAAGATCGGCTTAACATAGTGAGTGATATTAATTTTAAGCATACAAAATAACTCGGTGATATGTTTATCTCTCATGCTGCTAAATGATTTTCGCAACCTCATTTTTCGTTGCGCGGAATTGTTCGTAACATGTCACAGAACAACTCATAAAATCATTGGCGTGTAAAACTCACGCACATAAGATCCCCATGGCATCTACTTTGACTCTTCAAACACCCGAAAACTATGACTTGTCTACGGCCTAAGAAAGCTTTGTGTTTGAAGCCCCTTTCACCCTATACCAAGGTGTTGCATGACCAGATAATGGTCATTTATATAATGTATGGACATTTTGTAGTCGATTGGTATGCTTTTTGTGTTCATAAAAGCAAAATAATTTTTTTGCTCCGTAAGAGGCTAGACCGGCCCGAACGCCTACAGTGCGCCGTCGCGTCGGATCGTCGGCACCGCCGTCGGATCGTCGGCACCGCCGTCGGATCGTCGGCTCCGGCGGGAGGTGACGGGGTTGGGCGACACGCTCGCGTGCGGAGTGAGCTAATCTCGAGCGGAGCGAACTCGAGCAGTAGAGGCAGCTCGAAGTGAGACGGGTTCGCGGGACGTCGCCCGTCGCCGGCTCGGAGTTGACTGACATCCGCATAGCACGTAGCCCGCCGGGCTCCGAGCCACTCGGCCGGGCTCGAGGTCGGGGAAAATTACACCAATTCTGACCTCAAAACCGAGGCAGTCTTTAAGGACTTAGGGAGAACCCTCATCAGCGATAGTAAAACGGGAGTGAATGATGGCCACGCATTTGTTTTATGGGGTAATAAACCTGGCTGAAATTGACGCGTCTTTACCATATCGCTTTATTCAGGGCGTACTTACGGGATCATAGTGCGGTTATTTATTATAAGGAAGCTACCAGCTCGTGGGTGCGGTCACCTCGAATTCCAGTCATTTATCGAGATTGCTGCATATTCCTTGTTACACCACACACTAACTTCCAGGGTTTGCGGCACGTGCTCAGGATAGAGGGCTTCGCAATAGACGTAAATGTTTGACGTGATGTTGATCCGTGCCGTTGTTTGAACTGTTGCTTAATGTTTTTATGTTTGATGTCTCTTGCAGGAGGGGATGACCGTTCTACATATGGCAGTACTGAACGGCAAAGAGGACATGGTCAAAGCATTGCTGAATAAAAAGGCTGACATCTACGCACGTGCGGAGGTAAGACAGCCCTTGTTCCATTTTGTGGATAGGTAGGCATACGAGTGCTCAAGCTTCATCGGGGTTGGGATGACATGACACATCTTCACTAGGTAAATGTGAAATCAAAATACCAACACTAATGACAATCATTCGATGCACTTCCCCATCGCATCTTCTTCTGTGCCACATTACCCCACTCACATCCCTCTACGTGACCTCACTCAAATTCTTCTGCCGGCTAGCCGAAGCAGATGACGTGCGTCCACCTGGCGTGCACGAGGATCTCCGCAGTGGGGGTGCTGCGGCTCCTGCTACAGCAACTCAAAGTGGACACTGCCCGCCTCTCCGAGGACGCAGTAAGCGCTGGGTGTTGAACTGTCGACGATGCCGAAATAAGCTACTTAATGCTATTTCAGTTGAGACAAGTATAATAACACGGAACAAAAATGATAGACGAACGCGTTTCGGCTAAATCACCGTCATCAGCGTCTAAAAGGAGAACTCCTTTCTCCTTTTAGACGCTGATGACGGTGATTTAGCCGAAACGCGTGCGTCTATCATTTTTGTTCCATGTTACTACTAAATGCTGTAGGTTTGTTGTTGTTATTATTATTATTAATCGAAAAAATGTAGGTAGTCCGCAATCGATGCTATTTATTCATTGTCAATTTGTTTTATTCCGCGCTGTATCGACGAATTTTCCTCGATCGATGTGCATTGTGTGGTGTGCCGCTCCCTCCATCCAGCTGTTTCTCTCCTTTTATTTCCTCGTGTTTCAGCTGCACATTTTCGCATTATTACTGGTTTCAGGACGGTAACATCCCGCTGTTCCTCGCCACGGAAGTAGGAGCCCTGCAGGTCTGTAAGGAGCTGCTCGGTTCAGAAGCCGAACAACAGGTAATTTGTTATCGTCAGCGTGTTTTGTTCGGCTTATTGGACTGTCACAACTGACATGATAAAGTGTGGCTCGAATAATATCGACCCGATTTTTATGCATATTTTATCGTCTCAATTCTTTTGATTCCTTTTTACTCTCTTGATCAGCCAGCTTTGACTGACTTGAGACTTACACGGCGTTTCACTTTAAATCGGACACCTTTTATCGAACTGCCGTCGTGCGGTCAAATACTACCGGCAACAACCTTGACACGTGGCAATGCTTGAAACATGTCTTCAGCTGCTAATAGCCTACGTCATTTATCGATAGTCCTTAAGTTTCTTAAGAATAAGTTTCTTTTCGAATTAAGAAATATGTGTCGGGTTATCGCCATGCACCGTTTACTGCTTACAGAGATTACCAGTGTGTCAACTGTGAATCCCCACCTAATTTACAGGTCCTGTACCGGAAGAGGAGCGGTGACACGGTGCTCCACATGGCTGCCCACCGCCGGGATCTGGACCTGGCCAAACTGTTTATCGAGCACGGCGCCAAGGTGAACGCTCAAAACGTACGTAATTCACATACGAACCACGAACTACGAGTAAATGCAAACTAAATGCAAACGTTCATCGGTGCTTGATACCGAATGCTAGCGAGTTTTCGCTTTGTAATTATTTTAGCTTTGTTAGTTGGTGTACGTATTATAAGCGGAAGGCAGCGGTACTCCAGATGGAGTTTGACTGAGTTATGGACTGAGTAATAACAGATGAGGTAATGTAATGATCATATGTAGTGTAGCTGCAGCCGTAATTCATGATAACCCATGGCTACTTCAGCTGTTGTCTTTGTGCTAGCTAGCTTGTATCAGGTCGGCCTGGACGAATCACATAGGACTCGAATAATTTTAACGGAGTTTCGTATAAGACATCTGATCTGACCATGTACAGACCATGTACCTCTGTCCGTTGAACAGGGAGACGGTCAGACTGCGCTGCACGTGGCGGCCGCGGAGGGCGACGAGTGCATGGTCAAATACCTGCACAGTCTGGAAGCGGACGCCGCCATTCTTGACTCTCATGGTGAGCGAATCGCTCGTAGCTCATCTATGGCACCGAGGGGAAATCCGGGGGCAAATGGAAGGGTTTTATTATCATGGAAACGCTCAGTTATGCTCAGTTATGATTATGCTGGGTATAGGTTTTCAACGCGCTGCTGTTGGAGCATGGAGTGTTTCATCGACGGAACTGTTATTATTTTTGTCTTGGAGACAGAATATGTGAGTAATTTTCAGACATCACACGTTCTTACATCGCCAGACCGGACCGCTCTGCACGTCGCCGCCGAGCACGGCTACACGCTTGTCGTCGAAACCCTGGCGGACAAGTTCAAAGCTTCAATGCTGGACCGCACAAAAGATGGCGACACCCTGCTGCACATCGCGGCCCGCAGCGGACACCCCGGCGCCGTGGTGGCCGCCATCAAAAAGGGTCTGCCCCTGAGGATGCCAAATAAGGTGAGATAGATAAATGTGATGCAAAGGCTTACATGGCTGGCGGAAACGAGGTTTTGGAAACGGTATTGTGTGCCGTTTGATATGACGAGCCAGAAGTGAAATGTGAAGGGAAATCGTCGTTAGTGGGACGATTTGGGTAGTTGTCTCATCCGTCCTTGTCTTGTTCAGGATAAACCTATCCGCATCCCTCCTCACGCTTCCCTTTCTGGGTTGACGGTCACCCCCACCAGACAACCGGGCGGTGATGAGGATAAATCCACGTCAGGATCACGCCCTCTCCGGGGTGACCGTTTGAGCGGCAGGGCGGACTGTTCCATCGGTCCCATCGCGACATTCCCGTCAATCCCACGGGACGGTCTCTGCCGTTGCGGCGCACCGTCGGTGGTCCACACTCAATATCTCCACCCTATCCTATCATCTCATAATTCTGCAGTGGTCTGGTGAGACCGAAAGAGCTTGCCTCCAACGAAACATAAAACTCCAGCAGTTTTGCTTCAATGAAGTAATCACAAAGTCAATGTACGAATGGGGCCGGGACAGATTTAATTTTGCAGGTCCTGAATGTATTAAATGTCGTGGATCATGCTATTTTTAGGGAAAGCTGCGTGCTGTTGTTTCAAGAGTAAGTGTTACGTGGCACGCGCTGGCACAATTGCTGCTGTGGTGTCGTCTTACATGTCAGAACAAATCAAGAAGCATTAGGTTTATGACAGCAAACGGAAAAAGGACTGTTTTTCCGCAATTATCCTTGGAACTCGACTGCATCCACCATTGACAACAGTCTGCAGCACGCGCTTTGCGTGTTACCATCAAACAACACGCACAAGGAAAACTGCTTACTGTTGCCGAGAAAACATTATCCGGCATTTAATGCGCTTCAACGAGGCCTGTAGCGAGAACGGAAGCTACAGACGTGTTTAATGAGCCATAAATTTATATTTTATGTACATTTTATATGCATACTATATCAATGCACGCAGTTATGTATGGATTAGTGCAGATAAACTGTAATCCGCGTTGGCTCGGGTTCGAATCCCGCTGATGCTCGTATTTTCAGTCTGGTATGCGGGCCATCCACCAGGCGGCGCTGGAGGGCCACGGTCCGGTGATCGCCGCTCTGATTCAGAACGGCGAACTGGTCGACACCACCTGTCGGGTAAGATGTAGCGTTTTTATTTCCTAAAGTTAGAATATGACAAACAAAAACTACCTAATGTAACTATTTAAAGATCGTACTAAGATCGTGCATCGTAATAGTAAGTAAGCTCGTACAAGACCGCAAGTGTCTTGTACCGTAGCCAACACGCATTAGCGATCGTACTTAATCTCTTTCATTTCGTGTGTGTGGCTATCTGTAAAAGCGGACGGCTACCTCTGTGAATTACTGTGACAGTGTTATTCCGTTGTTCTTTGCTACAGGGAGGGCTGACGTCCCTCCATCTGGCTGCCGGGGCGGGTCAGACGGCCGCCGTGGAGGCGCTGCTAGGCCATGGTGCCCACATGGAACGGAAAGGTATGTGCCTAGTACAGAGGGAAAGGGGAGATGAGGCCGTCGAAGTAGGTCAGTGACAGTCCCACCAGCTAAATTGCAAGTCTTTTTTCGTATTAATGGGCTCTGGGAATCAAATTGCTTCGTTTTGTGTTGGGTGTAGTCACATTACTGCATCAATTTTTAAAAAGGCAATAGTATGATGACCATTGCACAACTATTCGATTTTTAGACTTCTCCGATATCAGCGGTCATTGCCGTCGCAAATTTGATGGTGCCGCCTATCGCTGAGTGGTCGGTTTCAGAGCTGCTTCCCATTTGCCGACGCACTGGTTCCTCATAGTCATACCGCTGTAGAATAGTGAGTGTTAATCGGCATATCGCAAGTACCCCTTTTCTGCCAATTTTGCGCTCCGCTAGCCGCAGCTATTGCAGAGATGAATCAGAGATTCGCCAATCGTGACTTCTTTTATCGCCAAAATTATAAATAAATGTTGGTTAGCTAAATGAAGGACATTACATGTCATGCATCAGGCTCAAGAATGGTCGACACGTCAAAGCACCCATTCGGGACCGGGCTCAGAACCATAGGGTCGGTTACTACCCTGTTTTCTTACCGTCGGCCGACCTCTCCGAACGGACGGTCTTAGAGAACTCGTGATAGCTTGATTTATGTCCTGTCCTCTTATTTACATTGCATCTGTGTTCGATACGTATATAGGAATCCCTAAAAAATAATCTGAACCGGTAGGCTCGCTCCATAATTTACCCCACCCAGCCAGTTGGCTGTGTGCGCCTCTGCCGTTGTCAGCTGGCGGGTCCTCGCCCCAGGGCATATCGTTCAAGGCCGGCGGTCAGTCGGGGTCGGACGCGAGGCCAACACGTGCTGTTTCTGGCATGGCGACGGTTAACGAGTGGGGATACTGACGGGTCAAGGAAGTTTGTTGAACTTTGTTGAAATAATATTTTATGGATATTTTATTTTGCAAGAAATGGTAAGCGCTATGCTATTTGAGTGTGTCCATCGGGATGTAATGTCTATTTTCATTATTTTAAATCAAACAACGGTAATATTGTTCTTTTCACTAGTGTGACGTGTGTTTCATTAGCGCAAATCTCATTCGATGAAGAACCAGGCATTCGATTGTGATGAAGTCTTATGTATATAGCGGCGTGTTGCGTATTTCTTTACTAAAGCCAATGTTTGTCTCTCGCCGCCAGGTGGTCCCGGCGATGAAACCCCTCTTCACCTGGCAGCCGGCTGTGCGGCCGGTACGGAGAGTGTTCGGGCTCTGCTCAAATCCGGGGCATCCGTCGACAGCACCGATCACAAGGGTGAGTGTTCACCATTATCCAAGGTTGCATATTCTATAAGCCTGGGACCTGGGTGTTATCTAATGCTACTGATGGCGTGAAACTATTTGCTTTTGCCTTGAAATTTAGTTACATTACAAATTAAATGGGACATTTAAGACAATTTTATTTTACCGCTAGGTGGTTGTTTAAGCTCATACTGACATATATGGCAAAAGTCAATTATTCAAAATAATTTATATTAGGACCAAAACGCGTTTCGATAATATGGTCATCGTCATCATTTTATTTAGGACCAACTGATGACGATATTATCGAACCGCGTTTTGGTCCTAATATAAATTATTTTGAATAATTGACTTTTGCCAGCTAGGTGGTTGCAAACGGGTTTCGAAAAGGAGCATTTCATAAAAGTTACTTCCGCATCCATATGGTGATGCTAGTTCTGTGTCGCTCGATCTCAGGTCGGCAGCCTCTGCACGTGGCGGCGGAGCGGGGTCACCTGGAGACGTGCCAACTGCTGCTGGAGGAGGGGGCCGACCCCGCCGTCCAGTGTCAGGTCAGGTGGTGTCGACTGTCTAGTCAGATCAGTGTGATGTGTGAGTGTGTTGATATCAGAGTCGGATATCTGACGAGTGATGTCGGGTGCAATTTCAAGTATCGATGTCGGGTAACTGGCTATTGGAAGTTGGAGATGTTTAATGCAGCGGCGTATTTAGAAAATCGCGAAGGGGGGGGCCAAGGGTTTGGAGGGCGCCACCTCACCCAAGGAGGGCGCCATACGGTCGCGAGATAAAAAATCGCTCAGCGGGGTGGGGGGGGGGGGGTGGGGGGGTTGGGAGGCGTTTTTTACCATGCCACCAGTTTTTTTTTGCGTAACCTCGTATAGGTCGTGCTGCATTGATTTTGCATCGTGTGTATTCTTTATACTCCAGGTCACAAAAGGTCAAGTGTTCTTGAAATGCTGCGCCGAAGGCGCGCGAAATTTTTGAAAACAACCTTTTCCTCCGCTTTTTAGGCACGCCTTTTATACGATCACCGTTCAAAGCTCCTCTCGCTCTTTTACCAAATTTGAAGGTGTAAAAAATACCTAAGGTTTGGTCGGGCCGCTGCCACACAAACTGTATAGAAAGCTTGGCTCATGGGTGTCGATGTATAAAAGTTTATTGGCGGTGGCATATCTACGCACCAAATCACCGTATCGGATTGATACCGGAGCGCGAGATGCGTAAACATCATCCAAATTACCTCAGACCAGCCTTCATAGCCTTCTCACAGATGCATACAGTGTACCCACATAACCAGTTTCAATCACCGAAACTTCAGATGCCTGCTGTTGCGGCCGAACCTGTTGACAATACTTAATCGTAATCCATATAGATGCCATGATGCACGTAAAGTAGGATCAATCCGTTAAGACCAAAGACGTGTTTTATGCATCGTAGAGCGTAGATAGTTTTGGTAGGTATAGGTACTTCATTCATTGTGCTGAATGCACGTTCATTTGTGGCAGTTTTCACAGGCAAGACATCAACTATGTGCAATAGAACGACTAAGTTGAAAAACATGCCAAAGGAGTAAATAAATTATAAGAGGGCAGCGATCAACGGATGTTGCCAATAGGTAGAAAGGCTGCGATCCACAGGAGGGCGCTAATAGGTAGGAGAGCCCCGATCAACATCCCGAGTTTCGATAGTAGGGCATCGATAGGTAGGAAGTTGGCGAGCAGCAGGAGGGCGCCAATGGATAGAAGGGCAGCGATCAACAGGAGGGCACCAATAGGTAGGAGGGCCCCGATCAACAATCAACAGGAGGGCGCCACCAGGTAAGAGGGTGGCGAGGAACAGGAGAGCACCAATAGGAGGGTGGCGATCAACAAGAGGTCGCCAATAGGTGGGAGGGCGGTCATCAACTGGAAGTCGTTAATGAGCGGAAGGGTGACGATTAAAATGGGGGTGGCATTGGTGAGGAGGGCGCCTTTGCTCAAGAGGATGACACGAACAGGAGGGCGTCTGTGCGGAGGGCGCTGGTCAACAGGCAGGTACCAGTGGATAGGAGGGCGGTGATCAACAGGAGGGTGCCAGTGGTTAGGAGGGCGGCGATCAACACGAGGGCGCCAATAAGAGAAGGGCCCCGATTAACATTCAACAGGAAGGACTAGGGAACCAATAGGTAGGAGGGCGGCACTGAACAATAGGGTGCCAAAAAGGAGAAAGGCGGCCTTGAAAATTTCACATGAGGGGGCAATAGGTAGGAGAGCGCCAATAATTATGAGGACGCCGATCAGCAGAAGGGCGGCAATATGTAGCAGGGTGGCGACCTACAGGAGGGCGCCTTCGGGTGAGAGGGCGCTTATTTACGGGACAGCGGCTTACATAGGCGACCACCGTTACGCTTAGAGAGCTACAGCCTACAAATGTGGTTGGAGGGCGCCCGAGGGAGCCCTCCAACCGTATTTGGAGGGCGTATTTGGAATGGGCGTCCTCCGAGGGCGCCCTCCATCCGTATTTTCCCTGTAAACACATTCGCGATTGGAGGGCGCCCTCCAGTCGCGATTGTTTTTCGATTCGATTATATCCCAATTGCATTTGCGATTGGAGGGCGCCTTCGGCGCCCTCCAATCGCAAAGGGCGCCTTCGGCGCCCAAGGGGGGGGGGGCCATGGCCCAGTGGCCCCCCCCCCTGCCTACGCCCCTGGTTTAATGGGATGCATTAAGGATTGGTTTTGACGCGAGAACAGGATAATCACGGTTGGAAGATGTCGATCGGCGTCAAACCATCATCGTGCAACCAATCATCGGACATTCATCATCGTTGTATCTGGTTAACCATTAAGTACAATTGAAATGCTATACAATGAGAGCTTACCCACTTGCATATCTTTTAGTATTACCATGGGAAATTATTTGTCGCTTGCTTGGTTTTGATGGCTTCAAAACGTCCCATGACACCTCATTTGCTGATTATCTTCTTCAGTCCGGCGACACCCCTCTCCACCTGGCGTGCTCCGCTGGCCACCGTGACGTCATCACGGCTCTGTTACGTCACGTTGCTGACTCGGAGGCGCGTCTGGAGCGTCTCCTGTGCGCCGAGAACGCCTCCGGTTTGACCCCGCTCCACTGCGCGGCCAGCCGGAGCGCGCAGGCTTGGACCGGGGAGGAGGCTGGGGATATACTGGACCTCCTCTGTGTCAGCGGCGCCCGGCTGGACCATGTGACGTCACAGGTCAGTGTCTCATTGACGTAATAGACTGGTCAAATAATGAGCTCCCGTTGAGTTATAAAGGAATGACGAATGGTGCTGGTTCAAATGTCATAACTTCGGCTCGGTGATAATTAGTATGGTGACTTGTGACCAGAGTAAGAAAATTCGTTTTCTGCGGTAGTCACACCTCATCATTTCTTGAATGATTGTCTGTTTTTACTTTTTCGTTTTTCAGAACCAGGAAACACCGTTCCATTGTGTGGCCTGCAGCGGCAACGATCAGCTGCTGGAGAAGATGCTGGCACTGCTCAGGGACCAGGTGAGCAACTCAGCAGGAAGTCACATCGTCTTCTTTCGTAGGCCGGTTTTATCATGTTCGTTGCTTGTGGCCTTTAGTACCGCCAAAGAACGCTAAAGAGATATATTACTTAGTAGCAGTCCTATAGGTGCGGTACTGGGCCGGTTAATGCGAGAAAGCCAATTTGAGGCTCGCAATATTATCACCGAGCGATGTTAACCTTCGCCCCAGTGCACAGTGGGGATTTTTCCGATCTAGCACGTCTTTATTCGTAGAGGGCAAACCATAGGTAGTATTTTAGCCAGATTGTGCACCGATGCTGGCTGGTGTGTTCTGGTTAGAATGTTACCTGTAAATGTGCATAATCAACATAGTATAGGGGGTTCAATTGGACCCCCGGCTCAGCCGTTTGGCCCCTGATAAAGCTAGAGCTTCGCGGAAAAATCAAGCGTGCTGCCTATGACGAGATGAGGCCGAATATATCCAATATCAAAGTCCAAGGTCATTAGTTGACTTTCCAAGTCAGTTTAATGACCCAACTAAAGTGGGAAATCAAGACCTCTTGAAACTTCGTAAAGTTAGGGTGTTACGGAGTATTTTGGGGTGTTTATGACGAATTTCATGTTAGTTTTGATCACAGACGATGTCTTTATGCATTTAGGCCAGGTCGGGTCAGGTCAGGTCAGATCAACCAGTAGGCGTCCTGCCGGCCATCCATAGTAGGTGTTACCTACTACTGACAGCTTCGTAACATGGTACGAAGGCACCAGAACTACTTTGTAAATATTCAAATGGTTGCTAAATTCGAAATCAGCACCAAAAACTACCCTAGAAACAAGTTAAACTCGAAAAAGTGAACCAAGGTCATCAAAGGTCAATGACCTTGACTTGACCTTCACGTGACCTTGACACCCATCATAATGCATGGCACCAACATCATTTCACATATTTAAACGTTTAAAACCACAGAAAGACTAGAAACCGCGGATAATGTGAGCTGGCATACGCCGAATCGCGATTCCGGCCAAACATGGTCTCGAGAAATATGCCACAGGTCAAAGGTCAGTTGGGTCAGAGTCATGAAAGTTTTAGGTTAGATGTAAAATTGATGATCTCGAGGGCACCGAAAGTTTCGTCGCGATCGGCCGCTTTTTGCGCGAGTAATTTGCGGAAAACCATGGGGTTTTATCCGACCCTTTCCCCCTCCCCCTCCCCTCCCCCACACTCCCATAAGATTACGGTGTGTATAATTTACGCTTGTCATCCTATTCCTAATGAATGTGTCTCAGGAAATATGCATCATCTAAATCACGAAGTAAAATTATTCGCCTATGTTCGGAACATACCTATATCGTGCTATTTGCCCTAGCGCTCCTAGAGTGGGGTATTAAGATACTCTAATGTGAATATTCCGTGTTCAGGCAAGTTCCGGCAGCCAAACTAGGCGTTGTCTTGTGCAGGAAATAGTGGCGAATTCGATAGGATATGTTTCGGAGTGGAAAAGTGTGGAAAACATTGTTGATTTCCTACATTTATTTGGAATACCATTCCTTCAATATGGTGTCTGTAAGGTTTTTTTTTGTAAATGTCATTTTTGTGACCTGTGTTAAGGTTGTGTCATACTTTCTGTTTGCCATTCCATTCCTAATAAAGGTGCCTTTCAGAAGATATGCAACTTTAAGACCTCGCAAGAATAAAACCAACAGGACAGGACAATGAAATTGAGCTATACTTTCGGGCCTTACTGAGCCCATTGGGTAATCACGCATGAGTGTGAACTTTGGGCGCATTTTTCCTATTCTTGACGAGGACATACAGATAAAACAATGCCATATATGAAAAATTCAGACATTTCTTAGCCTCACTGACACAAAAAAATAAACAAAAATCCAAAAAAAGATTTTTGGAATTAATACGCGCTAGATCGGAAAAATCCCAAATGTGCAGTGGGGGGGGGGGCATATGTTACCACCCTGTCGCGTTTCTTGCGTATAAACAAAAAACCGCGGCGCGTAGCGACGCGCCGCTTGGAGTAGCTTTTGGTACATCAATTTTGGACAATGTGTGAAATTTTTGACCCCAGGTCATGTCAGGTAAGGTCACGAGGTCAAGTTATCTGACTAAGCCTAAAAAAGTTTGCAATCATGTCCAGCCTGCAGTGTTTGTCAGAAAGGTTTTAAACTTGGTGGATTGCATGATGTTATGGGTGCCTACAATTTGTATATCTCAGATTTTTTTATATCCGTGACCTAAGGTCAGGTCAGTGGCGTGACCTTTCCATTACAAGTCAATGGAGAAAAATGAAAATGCCTCTAGATCCGTGTGTACGCATAGGAACAGTCCAAATATTTCAGAATCACAATGATTTGGACCACCCGTGATGACCTAGATGTCATTTTTGCTGATACCCTCTAGAAAGGTCATCCGAGGTCATCTGAGGCTGCAAACAGATTTTTGCCAATAACTCGCGATTGGAAAGAGATAGAACGCTGGGGATGGCCTCATTGTGTTTCTTGCCGAGACGCGTCGACTAATATGCAACATGACCTTTTTCGGTCAGGTCATGACCTTGACCTGAGGTCAAATTTTCAAGTTGACCTTTCAAGGTCAAATTATAGTTCATTCGACGCGTCTCGGGGAGAGGAACACGATTCTGGCAATAGAAATGTCGTGGCATTTTGTTGTCGAAAGTTATTGTCGAAAAACACTTTTCGTAAAAACAGCTATTTTTGGAGTTTTTGCCCTCTGGAGGCTAAAACGTTTACCTGAGGTCAATTTTGATAATGACCTTTTCAAAAGAAGAGTTCAAGAGCTATCGATTGCTTTTTCATGCGTTTTTCTAGCTGCCATAGTTCCTGAGATAACGGCATGTTTTCTGAAAAATATTATGACCATTGGGAAATTTTTACCTTTGATGACCTCTGGTGACCCCAATATTGCTCTAAGATGAAAAATGACCGAAATACTTTCAAACGTACGCATTGAGAGCTATCGACTGCTTTTTACCGCGTCTTTCTAGCCCTCTTAGTTTTTGAGTTAGAGGTGGGTGGTAACATATGCCCCCCCCCCCCCCACTAGGGCGAAGTTGGCTGAGACTGCCACTGGGGCGCGGGTTAATGCTAATCAGGATTGTGATAGCACTGCCGTGTTTTTGGCAGGTTACCAGCATTGCCGCCGTGCTGAATCTCCAGACCGCCTCTGGTGAGACATGTCTGATGGTGGCGGCTCGTGAGGGACACCAACAGACGGTCAAAACGCTCATGGACAACGGAGCCAGGTATGCGCTGTCTGTGACTTTATTCACCATAGTTCGTGTTTGGATTGGTTTAAAAAAGTAATTTAGGCCGGAGAACAACAATCTTGGCAGCTGGACTTAACGACAATGACCGTTCGTGAGCATTTAAGGAAAACGACCTATAATAATTATTTGCGAAATTTTGCTGATTGTGATTTGAGCAAATCAATTAAACGGCAACATTCTTGCGCCTGATTCGTGCAATATTAGCCCTAACCAGGGTATCTTGTCCCCGCCCAGGCTGGACGTTCTGGACTCGCTCGGCCGCACTGCCCTGCACCTGTCGGCGGCGGCCGGTCTCTCGGGCCTGTGTGAGACCCTGCTGGGCCGACCGGCTCTGCTGAACACCCGCTGCGCCGCCGGGCTCACGGCACTGCACCTGGCAGCGGCCGGCGGCTTCTCTGGTCTGGTGGAGTCGCTGGTACAGAGACATGGAGCGGCCGCCGATATTGCCGCGCAGGTCAGTCAGGGTGTGAATGGGGGGTGGGTGATGGTGGAGGGCTCAGCCGCTAGGAACATTACTTTAGCTTCTGTAGTTCGATCGCGTGTTGCCTCCCTCCATGAATACTGTAAAACAAAAAACTGTAGAACTTCGATGTAGTTTCAACTTTTCAGCCATATGTCTGCGAGATTTTATTAACCCGCGCCCCACTGGGGGGGGGGGGGGCTATTCATAGCCCCCTCCCGTTTTTTTTTCTGCAATAACTTCCAAACCACTTGACGTATCGACGCCAAACTATCAGTACCTTCGGCTGCATCAATTTGACACCTTGTGTCAAAATATGAACTTCGTAGCTACCATAGGTCGGCCGGAAATGACGTCAGAGTGACGTCATGTTCGGCCGATTTCGACGCAAAACATTGAACCACGGCAATCGTTCCCAAGAGCTCAGTTTTTAAGCTAGATCCAATTTATTTGCATGAGAGGACTCAGAATAGACTGCGCTATCAAACTGCTATCTCGGATTTTCGAAAATTTCGAAAATTTAATGTAATAAAATTCAAAATTTATATTTTTACATTTTTTCAATTTTTTTTACTTTTCGAAAAAACGGAATATATGTGATAGAACGCATTATTATGACCAACTGTAGCAAGTTTTAGCTAAATATCTTCAAAAATGGCCAAGTTATACGCATTATTGCAAAAAAATCACAATTATTAATTTTTCAAATCAATTTTTCAGCACGTATTTGACATCGTACGCCAATATAAATAGCACCATCGTGTTCCTGAGCTCAAACTGCATCCAATAGATACCTTTTTTGTTGAAAAAATTCAACTTCAAAATATTGCCTTTTTTACCTGAAAGTGACCTGACCTAAGCTAAATTCGACTCAAAATGACCTCGAATGACACAGACGACATCAAATTCGAAATCTTTGGCCTAAATGGACCATAAAACATGTGTCACGTGACCGACGCATGATATAATATTTTCGTGACCTGTGATGACCTGATCTGTCACAGGGCTGCGGAGTCGATGGATTTTCGGCGACTCCGACTCCGACTCCGACTCCGGCTTTCAAAAACCAGTACCGACTCCGACTCCGGGCAGAATTGTCGACTCCGACCGACTCCAACTCCCGACTCCGACTCCGCAGACCTAGCAGGGCTGCGGAGTCGACAGATTTTCGGTGACTCCGACTCCGACTCCGGCCCGGGTTTCTAAAATCGACTCCGACTCCGACTCCGACTCCAGTCACAACTGTCGACTCCGACCGACTCCGACTCCGACTCCGACTCCGCAGCCCTGCCTGACCTTGACCTGAAAATCAAAGTACAAGTTTGGTACCCTCAGGGTATCTAGAGCATCTGTTCACGAGTGTGTGAACCAAAAATGAGCCTGATCTGACTTGTAAGACGGCGGCCAGAGCCCAAAACATGAACAAGCCAAAATGCTAATAATTTTTACTTTGACCTGACCTGTGACGTCATCGGTGACCTCAAGGTCAATGAAATTAGGTTTCGTTCGACAGTTTTTTCCGGGGCTATCAGACGCCGTTTGAATTTTGACGATCGACCCAGTAGTTTCGGAGTTAGGAGGGGGGGGGGGCTATGAAGAGCCCCCCCCCCCCCAGTAGGGTGTGTTATACGCAGACCCCAGTGGGGCGCGGGTTAAGTAAGGTGTCTATGTGTTAGAAAAGAGCTCCAGTTACCATACTACGGTAACTCGAACAATGACACAATATTGTTCAAACGAAGTTTCACTGGTACAAATGCCGTTCTTGCATCGTTAAATGCGGCCCTTTTCCCATCCCTTTCAACTATCCTTTACCCTCACCTTCGTTCCCCAGGACGGCCGCACCCCGCTGCACCTCTCCGCTGCGGCCGGTCACCTGGAGGTGTGCAGCACCCTGGTACAGGCCGGCAGCGACACCTCAGCACGAGACGCGGCCGGACTGACCCCCGTGCTGCTGGCGGCGCGGTACGATCACGCTGAGGTGGTGAAACTGCTGCTCAAGTACAGCCCCGAGCTGCCCGACCTGGCTGATAAGGTGAGGGAAGGATGGGTGGTGTGGAGGGTAGTACGCAAGGTTTTGTGGGTTTGAGAGGCCTATGATCTTAATCAATTTCTTCATGGGCGTGGCGTGCTGTCTTCTCAGCGCTGCTGATTTTTTTTTTTTTTGCACCACATGTTGAGTAGTTTTTTACCTTGAGTGCTCTCACGATTCGTTACGTTTTCATGCTACTTAATCAAAAACATTTGCCCTTCGACAGCTTAAATTTAACAGGTAGTGATAATTTAAACCTGGCGGATTTATGAACAATAGTTTGATCTGCCGTTACCTATCTTGCAATGATTCGAAGTATCTGTGTTCACTTCAGGACGGTAACACGTGCGCGCACGTGGCCGCTATGCACGGGTCGGTGCACGTGATCCGTGAGCTGCTGCTCTTCAACACCACCATGGTGACGTCATCTCGCAATATGAGGGATGACGCGACACCTCTCCACCTAGCGGCGGCGGCGGGAAACGCTGAAGTGGTCAAAGTCCTCCTTGAAGCCGGCGCCAGCGCTTCTGATGAGGATAAAGTGCGTGACTCGGGGTTTTAGCTCGGAATTTTCCAAGTTGTTCTTATGCTTGTGTGAGTCATTTAGTTGGGAGGGTGAGAAGTGCTGGACTATAGTAATAAGAGGTTCATTAGATTCGTGAAACCCGCGATGCTTTGAAGAAGCCAGATTCTCCCACATTTAGTTTCGTGGGTAGCCCACATTTTCAAACACTGCTCTGTTCCGCGTAGTCTCTTCTTACCTTTCCGTTGATCACGGCTCGTCTTTCCGTTACAGCTCGGCCTCACCTGCGTCCATCTGGCTGCCCGCGGCGGCCACAGCGGCGTCCTGACGCAGCTCAGAGACATGGGGGTCTCCATGGAGGCCGCCAGCAAAAAGACGGGCCTCGGACCGCTGCACATCGCTGCGTACGACGGAAATATAGGCGAGTAGGCCGGCTTGACTGGCTGGTTGGTGTGTCTTGCCATTGCCTCGCGCTGAGACTAAAAAAACTTGAAGCTGTTCAGTTGACAAATGGTTTATTTATGCACTACACATACGGCTTTCTTCTTGTGTTACGTGCCTTTGCCACCAGATGGCACTAGTGGTGTGCGCCTGAATTTATACTTTACCGCATGGCACACATAACGGTGACGCGGACTGATGGACGGAGATAAAGGGCAAAGGCATTGTCGGCTGTCGCACTATCGGTAAGCATTACTTTGTGTGTGTGTGTGTGTTTTTTTTTAGTCATTGCGTATTCCCTCTAATGTTTGGCGCGATAGATTCTCCCCTTCATTGCTGAATAAGCATCGTCAAATTTCCAACCCAACGAACTTGAGATCAGGTATATTGCTCCGTTCGTAACCTCCTCTCTCTCTCTCTCTCTCTCTCTCTCTCTCTCTCTCTCTCTCTCTCTCTCTCTCTCTCTCTCTCTCTCTCTCTCTCTCTCTCTCTCTCTCTCTCTCTCTCTCTCTCTCTCTCTCTCTCTCTCTCTCTCTCTCTCTCTCTCTCTCTCTCTCTCGCTCTCTCGCTCTCGCTCTCGCTCTCTCGCTCTCTCGCTCTCTCGCTCTCTCGCTCTCTCGCTCTCTCGCTCTCTCGCTCTCTCGCTCTCTCGCTCTCTCGCTCTCTCGCTCTCTCGCTCTCTCGCTCTCTCGCTCTCTCGCTCTCTCGCTCTCTCGCTCTCTCGCTCTCTCGCTCTCTCGCTCTCTCGCTCTCTCGCTCTCTCGCTCTCGCTCTCGCTCTCGCTCTCTCTCTCTCTCTCTCTCTCTCTCTCTCTCTCTCTCTCTCTCTCTCTCTCTCTCTCTCTCTCTCCCCCTTCAGACATGGTCTGGGAGCTGCTTCAGTACATCTCTCCCACCATACCCTCGGAGCCACCCTCCGATGAGACGGGGGACATCACCGCAGTGTTACCACCGGTAGTAGCTACCGAGACTCGACTGACTCCCTTTCACCTGGCCGCACTGGCTGGACATGAGGACACGGCACGACTACTGCTCAACAGTGCAGGCGACGCGCCCGTCGACCCGGTCACTGAGCCGACGGTAGGGAAGAGTGCGTGCTGGGGAGGGATGGGGAATGGACAGGGGGATTGGGTTTGTGTAGCTTGGTGGATTTGTGGGATTCGTTTGATTTAGTGTTGTAAACTGAAAACTCTTGACAGTCATCAGGTACTTGCAATTATTACGATGGTGGCTGATCAATGTCATGGTGGTATTTGTGCCGATCAACTATATTACACACAAGTTGACAGCAATTTATTGACACGCCACTGTAAGTCGCGTGTGCAACTGGCATGTGGGTGGCCACTGATCATCTGGCCCCTCCCTGTCAGGAGGTCACGCCTCTTCAACTCGCGTGTGCTTCCCCCTCCCCAGGAATACACGCCTCTCCAGCTCGCCTGTGTGGGCGGCCACTGCTCCGTCGTCACTCTACTGCTCAGCTGGCGCCCCAATCAGCTGACGGCGACCCAAGGTCAAGGTCGCGGCCTACTTCACCTGGCGGCGGGTCAAGGTCACCGTCAGCTGTCGGAGCTGCTGCTGAGGGAGGGCGCACGGCCAGAAGCGACGGATAATGTGAGAAGGGTAGGACCCCCCCCCTCCCCCTGAGAAGGGTAGGGGATTATTGGTCGGGATCGGTCTTTATGGTTTGTGGTCCACGATTTCTATTGAACCAGCAAGAGCAACCATTTTATTTCAACGTATTTTGACAAGCTCAGCTTCAGCCTTTTGGGAACGTTTGATGGAAGCTTGAAGAGGGGACCTATTCTGTAATGACGCTCTTAGTATGTGTGGGTATTGCTCAGCAATGCTTGCAATACTTTAATCTCGTACAAAACTATCCCTCATAACATCGTTGCCCCTCTTACTTCACCAGTCCACAGCTACATTCGAATACGTAATCCCTGTCTTGAACCTCAGGAGGGTCTGACGGCGCTGCACCTAGCCGCCCAGCGCGGTCACCTGACCACCGTCCAGCTCCTGGTCGACTCCGCCTCCCCAGTGGACACTGAGGAGAGGACAGAGCTCACGGACTCACTGATCAGACTCGCCGTGGCCGGGGAGCATGGCGACGTGGCTGGTTATCTTGTGAAGAGAGGAGGCTTCTCGAATGGACTGCTCGCAGATAGGGTGGTGAGTTGGTGGATGCTGAATGTCGTGTTGGCTTGTGCTGGGTGAATCATGATGCGATGGGTGTGGGTCAAATTGATAGCTCGGGATTTGAGTAGGGTAAGATATTTGGCAGAGTGAGTAAGGGTTACACATCTGTAGTGGCGAGAGGACGGGTTTGGTAGTTGGCGAAATTTGATATTGAGATAGAACAAGCCTTAGGGCGCTCGGCGTTAGCTGGAGTGTTCTTTGCTCGCGCGCATAGTAGATTAGCTGATTGAAGTAGACGAACTGAAGGCGATTGAAGCAATCTGACGTGTATTATGGCCGTCCCCGGCTCCAGACCGACGAATGACACTAGCCGCGTGCTCTCGTTTTCAGCTGATCCGCGGTCTGACGCTGATCAGTGCCAGGAGCCGCCACCACCTGCTGGAGGACTTTGTCGTCTCGTCGCCGGCACCCGTCTACACGGCGGCTGAACTGGCAGCCCTGCTGAGGGATGACCTCTGCAAACAGGTGGGTGAACTGATCACTTCTGCTAAATTATGGAATATTCCAGGTATTCATTGGTTGAGCTCTGATGTTTTTATTTACGGAAATCGTAAATGTTCCATATGAGGTCAGTCATGGTTGTGGATTAACTTACCGTAAATGATTTAGCGAGTGGAGCGGTTCTTTGCAGTATTTTCGAAGTAGATCAACAGGCAACGTTAGTTAGGGTAGGGTGGGGTAATTTGAACATGTGGGGCAATTTGAACATAGTGTGAATAACAGAAAATTACGGAAAATCCATAAGTGGCATGACAATAAGACCAATGAGAGAAATTATCGTAACTAAAAGGGCTATCATATGAACGGGGTTTTAAGTTTCAGGGAATGAAGATGTTGACGCACAGTGTAAAAAATCAATTTCGCAAGGAAAAACGCCTAACAACACGTCATTGCAACTTCATTGCAGCGCAAAATCTTGCATTGCTAGCGCCTAATACGCAACGGCTTTTGTTGTATAATGACCTAATCAGCGCCGCCAATCCAAGAAATTTGCTTTTGAACCCTGTTTTTTAAAATGGCAAAATAACTTTTAGCGGGGGGTAATTTGAACATAGTGTGAGAATTTGAATGAAGACAGGGATAGCTCCGAAAAAACAACGCTCCCAGTTTTTTTTTTGCCAATATTTTCGACCAAAGGCAGTAGCAGACAAGTGATGCCAGTTTTAGAAAATTTACGTCTAATATCCGTCTAATGTTCGGCATTTTTGTTGATTTTCCGTCCAAAAATGTTAAATGGGCATTTTTGCCCATTAACATTTTTAAAAATGTTAATGGGCATACCGGCCCGTTGGAAGGATGACGAATAAAAAAAAGTCAACTATTTGTCCAAATATGTCCAAAATTATGCAGCTATCAACACTCAAAACCGTCATTTATATTGCTTATCATGTAATTTTACCAGCCGAAAAGTGTTCATTATATTGAGATCTTAACAAACTTTCCATTCGCCAATCAATGCTAACACGATTACTCTATAAAAAGCGCTGAAGTGTAGCAAGCCATCGTCCAATATTGCCCAGTCTGCTACCTTTGTCCAAACAATTCCGAAATGGACATTGGACAAAATCAGAACTCCAAATGTCCAGGTTTCGATTGGCACCACTTTAACAGGTGTAGTACGGTTGGGAGAGTTTTTATCGAACAAAACGTTCTGTTAATTGAAAGGGGGCGAATTCTGTCAACTGACCGGTGTGCAGCGTGCAGATATTGATACTATGCAACTGTTATTTTTGCTGTTGTGTTGATTTTTCAAGTGAAGGTATGTTTAGAATTGTTCTGCCTATTTGTTTATGGGTCAAACAACATCGGTGCTGGCGAGACTATCGTTTTTATGACAGGTAAAGGCAGTATGTTCAAATTACCCCACGGTTGGGCAATTTGAACACACCGTGACTTGGTGAAGTGAGGCTATGCTATTCAAGGTATGCTCCGCTCGTCCAAAAATGAGGCTTGCATGGTGAAAGCAAGTGACACTTGCGCTACTGAAGCAATTTTTCTTCATCCAGGGTTGAACTGGAATTTGGTACAACGGAGAAGACGTAAAAATATGTTCAAATTACCCCACACTACCCTATTGAATGCGTTCCTCGCCTCGCATGCGGCGAAACACCGAGCCCCTGTCTTCACTCCCCAGGATGAGGAGGAGACGGTATCCCGTGAGCTGCGAGACGCCGCAGCTCTCTGTCAGTCCATGACGGCCGAGCTTCTGGCGCTGGCGAGCTGCCGCAGCTCAGTGTCCGCCGTGCTGTCTGCCGTGGACCCGCAGCAGACGGAGCTGCTGGACCTGCTCATACAGCTCAAACACAAACAGGTGCGGGGGACCTGCTCATATAACTGACTCTGAGACACAAACAGGTTCGGGGTGGGGAGCTGCTCATACAGCTGAGACACAAACAGGTCTGGATGGGGGGGGGGCTGCTCATACAGCTGAGACACACACAGGTCCGGGGGAGCTGCTCATACAGCTCAAATCCAAACAGGTCCGGGTGGGGTGGGGTGGAGCTGCTCATACAGCTGAGATACAAACAGGTACGAGGTGGTGATGGGGGGCTACTCATACAGCTGAGACACTGACAGGTCCGGGGCGGCGGGTGGGGCTGCTCATACAGCTGAGACACAAACGGGTTCGGGATGGAGCTGTTTATATAACTGAGACACAAACAGGTCCGGGTGGGGGCCCTGCTCGTACAGCTGAGACACGAACGGGCCCGGGACGGAGCTAGTACTATACAGTTGAGACAAAAGCAGGTCCGGGGTGGGGCTGCCAGACCTGCTCATACTACTGAGACACATACAGATCCGGGACATCAATGGAATATGACGCGTCTTCGGCTGCTTTGGTGTTAGTCGACGTTAATGCGAATAAGCTATTTGTAAGTTTCTTTTCACGATAGTCCTTTCGCATTTTTCACCGGTAGCCTGGGGTGAAAAGGCATGGCATGAAACATGGCTTTGACTTCATGGAACCTTCAGCTAATGATCTTGTAACACCTCCCCCTCCCCTCCCCTCTCAGGTGATCGCGCACCCGGTGGTCCAGTCCCACCTCTGGGACGTCTGGCGCGGCGGCGGGCCGGCCTGGCCGCGGTGGCGCGCCGCCGCGCTGTTGGCCGCTCTCCTGCTCTGCCCGCCTCTCTGGGTGCTCCTCTCTCTATCTGTCGGCCCGCGCTGTGGTCGTCTGCCGCTGGTGCGACTGGCTGCCCGCCTCACCTCTCACGCCCAGCTGCTGGTACTTCTGGCTCTTCTGGTGGCCACCGGACGTGGACGGTGGCCGCCGCTGGCCGGACCGCTGGAGGGGGCGCTGCTGCTCTGGATGGCGGGGCTGGTACTGGCTGAGATGACGGCTGGGCGGGGAACCGGCGGGCTGAGGGTGCTCAGACTGGCCCAGCTCTGCCTGGGTGTGGCTGCCCTGGCCGTCCACGGGGCGGCGCTGGTGTCGGCCGGAACGGAGGCGGAGAGAAGGGAAGCGGTGTAAGTATCACTTGCGTCTGGGAAAAGAAAAATAGACGGACAGGGAAGGCAGATGCTGGAGTTCTCGTGGCTCACACCAATCGCAGACTGAACCGGGACTCGGAAAGTGAGACGTTGAATCTCCATCATGAATGTAGATATGTATTGCTTGCTTGGTCTACTTCTAGCACATACTGTTTCCTTCCGAGGCTTTCGATCGGGTAGTTATTGATAGGTGAAAATAAGCTTTTTGAAAATAATTTTGAAATATGAAGGCATGAGTGGACTCCGTATGGACTAAACGTCGCATCTTGTTTCAGCTACATCCGTAACCAGATTTTAGCGTTTGTGCTCCTGCTGGGCTGTGTGCAACTGCTAGATTTCCTGACGTTCCATCACATGTTCGGGCCCTGGACCGTCACTCTGCGGGCTGTCGGCGCGGAACTCGGACGGTGAGATTAAAAATGTCTCAGCTATGCATGCATACACTGACTTTACTTTATCATGGAAGGCAAATCCTTGTCCAAGGATATATCTCAGCCACGATATGAGTATCGTTGTTGGTATGTGCACTTGTTAAATCGTATGCTTTTCGGTTGTTTCTCTTACTCTTTCCTGATTTCTTTGACAGTGATGCAGAACTATAGTCTGTTTTTCGTATCTTCTACCTTCACTCAAAGACGGTAAACTCTCTTATCACGTGCTCCAGCGAACATCTAATTAAATCAACACCGCTGCAAAGTCAATTTTTATCTCGAACGCAAGATCGAACGTCTGTCCCCTTGGTCCCCTTGGCCTATCTCGTTAATCAAAATGCAATGTTCTTTGTCAAGTGAAATGCATTTGCATAAAAACGTGTCATCATATTTTCTTTCTGGCCAAATTATCCCTTTCTAATGTCATTATGTTTTCAAACAACAGAAGGGCAATGGCCTTGGTCTCAGACAAGACGAAATGATCGTAACGTTTTCTTTCAACGTTTCAAAGCAAAAGAAATGTGGGTAAGGTGACTGAAATAAGGCGGTGAAGAAGGAGCACAACCAACGAATATCGCCAGAATAACGAACTTACTTCCTTGGATACCAGAAAGAAAAGTGTTGAAGGCGCGGAGAAACACCGACGGTGGTGGCACAATTCAACTCCGTCATGCTTTCAGCGCAATATAATACGAAAAATGCATACGTGGGTGTAATTGTTGTTATTACCTGCATTTGTGTATCATAATATAAGCCCTAAGGCGTTGGTGATTGCCAGCGATCAAAAAGTCATGTTAGATGATCACCAGCAGCTTTCGACAATACCTAATAGCTGCTAGAACTAAAAATGTTTCGACGGCGTTGTAGTTCAATCGGTTGACAAGGTTTGGTCAGATTTGTCCAAACATGTTGAGCTCGGGAGTTTTTTTAAATTTATGACCTTCAGTGGCCTTCACTTAACCCGGCCGGGCCCGGGGGGTAATCCCAACCACCGCAGCCCGGGGGGGGGGGGCGTTTTTCGCCCCCCAGCCTAACTCCGTGAATAAGGGAGCTACGGAAACAAAAGCGATACCAAACGAAAGGTCCTTACGAGACGATTCTAAAGCACCTAAAATTTTTGACCTCAGGTCAATTTTCAAGGTCAGAGGTCAAGGTCAAAGGCAAAAACCGGCACATGTGTAGTGATCTCAAAGTAAGCCTTCTGGCTTCTAGAGGACGGCAGGCGGCATCAAACCGGCAAAATTGGGTGTCAAACGAAAGAAGAGAATCTGAGGATTCCGAAAATGTGCTCAAAAGAAAAAGTCAAGGTCAAGGTCACGCTCAAAATTGACCTCAAACTTGGCACTTTTTCGCACATCTTGCGTGCTAACTTTCAAGATGTTTTGAAATGTTTTGAGGCTTATCAGTACCCTATTTGTGGTTCCTCTTACGATACAAGGCTGCTCAAAGGTCAAGGTCACTGAAGAGTATCCCTGCTAGAGGCTATTTCACTAATTCAAGTTAGTAATAATAAATAATACAATTTTGCCATCCGGAAGTTCTAAATGAAGGCTGAGAGGAGAATAGATGCCAGATTCGTGATCAGCAGGTACAAATCCATCATAAACGACCTTTCATGTGTCAAGGTCAACCAGAGGTCATTCGAGGTCACATGAGGTCAACATAAAACTTGACCTTTTCCTAACAAAATATATATCATTCGACGCGGCTTGACAAGGCGAATGCGATGGTACCACTGCCGTAGCTCTAGGACCATTTTTGTCGAAGTTATTCGCGAAAAACTAAAACCACATTTCGGGGTCGTTGACCTGACCTCTGACCTCAGGTCACCAAAACTATTTTTCTATTTTTCTCTAGGTCAAACGCTACACAACCGTGCTCGTAATTTGTCTTTATCTCTAAAACTCTATTTTTAGCAGCTATTTGAAGTTTGCGTCTGTGACGCCGAAGTTTGCCGTGCAGGGGTCTAGAAAAATGGACCCTGTGACGTCATCAAGGGGGCTAGGTCCAATTTTTTTACTTCAGAAGATGTCAAATTGATGGGAGAAAAGGTACTGAAAGTTTCGCTTTCCTATCCCTAAGCGTTCGGGAGCTATCGCAAATATTCGCCAGGGGGGGGGGGCGAAAAACGCCCCCCCCCCGGGCCCGCGAGGGTTAATTGACCTCAGCAAAATGCGGTATATATATACTATATACGTATACTGCTGAAAGTAATTGTTGAGAGCTATCGATTCTTGCCCGCGTCTTCGCATCTTTCTTACTTTTCGGGATGATCGCGTGAGGCAGATAGGAAAACTATAAGATGAAGCAAATCTGCCTGGGGACCCCAAGCGGGCGTGGGTTAAGACAATTTTGTTATTCGTCGGTGTAAAAGTTATCGCAACGTAAATAAAGCAAAACATAAATTAAGCATTTGAAAAAAATATGGCAGAACATATAACGCATTTAGTTTCTTTTACCCAATGAAAAGGAAGTGCAAGCTTTAAACTATTTTTTAAATGTTCTTAGCAAGAGCGCTTCGCACAATGCAAGTACCTATGAGCAGCAAAACGTCCTTGTGTATAGGTCGGTAGTCAGTACCAATAAACCGTGGTAACGATAATAGAAGCGATACTCTAGCTTAAAGGTTTCTTTTCCGATTTTATCTGCGCAGCGAAAGCGAACTCCAATACGAGCAACAAACTCCTGCAATGAGTGGTGGGCCATGCGATCAAGATTTGAAAACTATATCCTAAAAACGTGCTGGAGGGGCAAAACATCTTTGAGTGAAGGTAGAAGATACGAAAAACAGACTATACCAATGCATCAGTTACGCAAGTTTCAAGTGTTTGACAATGTCAGTTTGATGGAATACAACACGCTACGTCCTCAGGTTCCTGTTGCTGCTCTGCCTGGTGGTGTGCGGCTTCAGCATGCAGGTGACAACCGTCTTCACGCCGGTCCGGCCGATGCCAAGCGTCCGGAAACAGGACGGCATGGGCTACCCGCCCAGAGGTGAGTCCGATGTCCAGTGCATATCGCTTTAACTGCTGTTTCCTGAAGTATTACATGCCTTATTATTTCGAAAAATAGCTGGTAGCATTGTTTTACGATAAGCTCTCTAATCCCGCTTCTCATTGTCGCTCTTGTGCTCTTGGAGCCGAAATAACGTAATTGTCGCCAAGTGCAAGGCTTCTAGCTGGTAGGCTGCTCCAGTACGGTACCAGGTTTACGCATTTCTTCTCGGAAAGCTTATCTACGAGTATGAAATAAGCCATATCGCGTTTTTACTTTCTCCTACCTTCATCCCGCAGACCTGCCGGAGCGCGGCGTGCTGAGCTCGCTGGAGATGATGCTGTTCTCTCTGGTGGGTCTGGCGGCCTCTTACGGCTGCCACCCGCCCCCCGTCACCCACCCAGCCTGGTCGGGCGCCCTGCTGAAGACCGTGATGGCCCTCTATCTGCTGGTGGCCGGCGTGGTGCTAACTGGCCTACTGGTGGCAATGATGACGGATTCGTGTCGACGAAGTCAGGTGAGGGGCTGGGTAGCGGTAACACAGGGTTGGGCAGAGGAGTGTGCGTAAGGCAACGTAATTGAACCATTACCACTGCGCAATATAACCTGTCTTAACGTTTGTAACTGTAGCTAGAAAAAGAACAACGCAACAGTATAATGATATCAAAGTTCAACAATTAAGTATGTAAGAATCTTAAAAAGCACCCAGTTTCTTTCATGTTATAAAGTACGCCATTGACGTTAATGCGCCCAGTGCCTTCTCGCATTATTCGCTACAACAGTCGCCCCTGTTTTTATCACAGACGGATTCGGAGATTGAGTGGAAGTTTGAGCTGGCCCAGTTGATCCGAGGTCTGAGCCGGAGCCGGGCGCCGCCGGCTCCTCTAAACCTCATCACCAAGCTGGTGGTGACGCTACACGCCTGTGTCAGGTTCAGAGGTGGGTCTGATAATATTCGAGAATCACGTACACGTAACGTTGAATTTGTTGCGGCTATGGCTTCCGTGCCTATATCGTTGCTGTTTTTTTTTTTTTTTTAACGGGCGAACGCCGTACGGTTGATTCTGGGTTTCGTACGAACTGTTTTGTACCAAGGCCGACGAAGAAAGCTGCATAGCTTTCAAAAGCTCCCATTAAATAAAGAAATAGCTGGTGTTCCATTATTGTTCTCTATAACGATTCGTTAAGTTTTACTATTACCAGTAAAACGCCTTTTGGGCGAAGAACGAGCGAGCGAGATAGTGAGCCCTGCACGTGCGGAAGGGCGAGAGGGTACTTCCAACGGGCTTGCGCAAAGCACCCTTCTAAACGGTCGCTAGCGGTGTACCAAATTTGAGCGCAATCGGCCCAGCCGTTCCTGAGATCTGGAAGCGGCATTCTGCACGTGCGCACGTGCAAACGGGGTCCAAACTGACTTTTGCACGGCACCCTACTAACTGGTCCCCAACCGTGCACCAAATTTGAGCGCAATCGGCCCAGCCGTTCTCGAGATCTGGAAGCGCCCCCTGCACGTGCGCACGTGCAGTAGCACCTTAACCGCAACACATGGGAATGCATTGTCTGGTGGGTGCCTACCTGTTTGCCAAGTTTCAGCGAAATCGCCCCAGTAATTACCGAGTTATTAGAATGGGAACAAATTTGACACCTCTTATTGTTGTATTTTTGCACGTGCACTGGGGGTGACCCACGTGCATCGGGAGTATCCTATTTTTGGTAGAAGGGATGCTGCTACCCTACAAAAATGACCGCAAGCCAATCGCCCAAGCTGCTGCTGAGATATCAGCCTCTCAAAATCACTACTTTTGCAAAACAGCTTGAACACCCTTGACTTTTCACGTGGCACGTGCCACGACGGTCACTGAGATGTATCAAAAGTAGTCAATTACGGGGTAGAAGGGATGGGGCTACCCAACAAAAAAGACCGCAGGCCAATCGGTCCAGCGGTTGCTGAGATATAAGCCTCTCAAAAGCGTTACAGGCCGGGCCGGGCCGGCGAGATTTTTTCCGTTATATTGAAAAGACTCAATTCGCTCGCTGCGCTCGCTCGCTCGTAACTAATAAGCTACATTGAGTTAATCCCTCACATAGTTAGTTCGTTGTAGGTATGTGTGTGTGCAATACGTTACTGAAAGTAAATAAAAGTAACTATTGCTCGGTTTATGTTTGTTTTCTGGTTAAATTCGTTTCTTTACTGCGTTCGTTCGATCGTTGGAGACCGAGCTTAGAAAGGTAATGTTATCGAATGTTCGTCATGCAATTCAACTACTGCATTTGATTAGGCGAATGTGATATTACATAACTGTGTAATTTACTCATTCGTTTCAGTCTCCAACTTTGCTGATTGCTGAGTTGAGCTTAGTTGCTGGTAGTTGAGCGCGGGTAAACCCCTCAGGTATCTGCCTCTGCCAGTGACGCCCCCTGCCACCTGACCCTCTCAGGTCGCCTGTGGGACCCGGCGGCGCGACAGCAGCTCAGTACCGAGAGACTGACGGAGCGGGCCCGCCGCCTGGGGTCGGCAGCCGCCTGGAGCGGTAGGCTGCGCCGCTCGGCAGCCGCCGACGGCGCCGGAACAGGCGAGTTGGGTCGGTTGGACCAGTGCTATTCTTAGATTTGGACTTCTGAGTTACTTTGTTTACACTGGATAGAATAGTGTAAATGTGAAGTAACGTGAATGAGATAGACAAAGAGCAAGGAGGGGATAATGCCTGGAAAAGATGTGATGTGAAGCTGTCGAAATGTACCAATTACCTTTACGCGCGCTGGGACAGATGAAGCCAATTATCTTATTGACCGTGTTCCCTTTTTTCCATTAGCGGTTTAATGCGTCTTATTCTTGCGTGGTTACCTGTGTTGGTGATTTCGACTATTATTTCCGCAGTTTACGACCCACCCGCGGCTCGCACCACCTTAAGTCCCCCACCGCACGGCTTTTTGGTCCACTTTCGACCTTTCTATGACCTTTCGATGACCTCTGTGACCTCAGACCGTGACCGGGCGACCCTGGTGGTGCAGCCGTCGGTAACAGCGGCTCCCTCTCTGAGCGGTGGACGGCGGCTCGAGGATGTGGTAGACTGGTCCCAGGTGAGGGGGTAGCCGGGCTCAGACCGTCCAGTGAAGGGGGTGGTGTCGTGGTGGCTACACTGATTATTTCTTATTTATCGTGTAGATTGTTTTTCGCTGGCACACCTCGATTTTTCCGTTTTTTATTTTTTATTTTTTAAGGTATGTGGTTCTTACTCATACCATACCAGGTAACTATAACTAATGTAACGTTAATTAACGTAACGTTTATTAAATACGTGTAGGCATTAAATAAGAACGCAGTTTATAATATGTGTTCGATGTTGATTTTCCCAGATTTCATTAATTTGTACCTTGTTGGTTGGCAGTTTTCTTATTGTCATCGGCATTCTTAAATTTGTTACGGACAGGTTGCCATGGTGTCAATAAAATAACGTTTATGTATTTTACGAACAATACAGCTACGGCTGTCATACGCCAGCTTCTGTTCATAGTACGCCCACTTCAGTTCTTGTGCCTTTAGTGATGCGTGATATAAGGCGGTCCTGACGATAGATTATCAAATAATTCTTCTAGTTTCCACGGCTGCAAGCTCCCGTTGCTGCCAATTGCCAATTATGACATGCCGACGTGGAGCGAGCTGATACCTTCACGGTTCCTGGCTGTAAATTGACACTAAACAATTATATAAGAGCGCCATATACGAGGAATAGACCCTGCCACGTAGGAACAGAGAGCAGCTAAAGGCTTATAGGCCGTCGAATTGGCTGGTTCAATGCATCCCCGAGTTCCTATGTTTGTGGGATTAAAGCTTTGCCCTGGGATCAATAACCTCAGTTTGCAGACAATATGGAAACGGGAGGTCATTATGGTTCACTGACAGTTTCTGATCCCATCATATTTCCATAATCCTAACCAGTTTGAGTTTCATCGGACCCGGTTTTTCGCTTCAAGACACCGCGATTCCGTCCCGTCATCGTGACTGTACCTGTACGATTCTCCCGAACAGCCTTCGAAACTAATAATGACGGACGGTGGCGTCTTCGCTGGCTTCCATTGTCCAGGCACGATGATTCGGCGCGCTCCGCCGCCCCGAGCGCCGAGTTCGTCGCTTCACGGGCCGATTTCATAGTGGCGTGGGGACGTGAGAGAGCTCCCGTCATCGGATGATGTGCTCAGAGGAGCAGCTCCATGGCGGGGCACGGGTGGCCGTTGGTTTCCAGGCAGTCCGACCCGGACGTAGCCGTGTGGGAGGCGGTTGGAGGCGCGCCGGCCGTGCCTGACGAGCTCACTTCTGTGGGAACACGGAGTCATGTAATCGAAAAATGCACGTGGTGAAATGGGTATGGAAGACGTTCACTAGGCGTGGCAATGTTGCAACGGAACTGCAATGGCATTGCAATGGCAATGGAACTGGCTTTCAGTTCCATTAATGATCAGTGGAAAGCCAGAGGCATGGAAGTTATAAATTGAATTATAATAGTTACATGCGAAAATAACACTAATTCGACTACATATCTGTTCATCGATTTCATTATGCTTTCTTTATTGAGTTTTATTATTATTTTAACAAAGCTATTTTATTTTTAGCTCTTCTCGACGTAATACGTACCCTCAGTGTATCGCATTGTTTCCGTCTGTGCCGCCTTTTCCGTCTCGCACACGGTCTGCACGGCATGTCTCCATGGTTCGTTGATAGGTACCGTCTGCCAGAAGTTGACCCGTTCCTCAAACAAACGCTCCCCTATCTCAGGCTGCGAGTTGAGCCTCATGTGGCGCTGACTGACCTCGGTGAATATGGGCCAGTCGGGCATGGGTAGGACATCAGAGCTGGGCCGGCCGGTCCGTGCGAAGGAGGTCCAAAGGGTGGTCATGAAGCGGATCATTGTGTGCTCCGGCGTTCCCGGCTCCGCGAGGGGCCTCTTGTTGGTGCCGAAGATGTACAGCAGCTCCTCGCCGTGTGTGGTGCCCAGGTCGGGAAGCGGCAGACGTTCGAGCTCTGTGAGACGCAGTCGGCCCTCGCCGCGATGATCCATTATGTATTTGTAGACGGGAGCGTGGGCAGAGGCCAGGCGGATCTCCTCGGAAGTCGAGCTGACGAAGATGCGGTCAGAGAGGACTCTTGCGATGGTGGCCACACTGAAGTTGCCGTCAGAGGAGTAGAAGTCGATAATCTTGGCGAGCTCCTTGGTCATGTCGGCGCCGCAGTCGAGCGTGAATGGAGGGGCGAGTTGGGAGAGGCCGGCCCAGGCCTGCGGCGCACCGGCTAGGAAGCCGTTTGTGAGCTTGCGGTTCGTCATGATCAGTGGAACAAACGCGTAGCCTTCCTCCTCGGTGATGCCGCTCATCCACGGCACGAAGTTGAATTCGCCGGCCTCCAGAAGGGCCCGGGGGTCCTTCGGAAGGAACGGCACCTCAGCTTCAGAGTCTACTCGAGGCTGGAAGGCATTCATGAAGGCTCTCAGCGTCAGGCTGCCATCCATGATGTCTTCTTCAGGCGCCTTCCTGATGCAGTCAACCATAGTCGCCGGATCATCGGTGGTGCAGTTGAGGAACTCGGCGAATTCCTTGGCGAGCTCGGACTTTTTCCCACTGGCAGCAAAGCTGGCGATTGCTGCACCCGACTCGCTGATGGCGTGGTGGAATAGACCCTTGCCCAGCGGACTGAGAACGAGCAGAGACACACTGGCTCCGCCGGCCGACACGCCGAAGATGGTTACCTGTTCGGGGTCACCTCCGAACACGGCGATGTTGTCCTGCACCCACTGCAGCAGTAGCACCTGGTCCAGCAGACCGTAGTTGCCAGGAGCTGCCGAGTCGTGCGTCGTCAGGAAGCCAAACACTCCGAGCCGGTAGTTGAAGGTGACTACCACAACATCCTCGTCCATCAGATACTCGGGACCGTGGGTCTCGGCATCGCCGTCACCGAAGAAGAACCCTCCTCCGTGAATGTAAACCATGACGGGAAGACCTCGCCGGGGCGAGCCGCTCTTCCCGGGCAGCCATGGAGTATAGACGTTGGCGAACAGACAGTCCTCCGAGCCTACCCGAGTGGCGTTCTTCCTGAAGTCGAACTGCGCGCACTGGCTGCCGTGCTCAGATGCGTCGAGAACATCCGCCCATGGGAGGTGACGCCTCGGTGGCTGGAATCGCAGCTCTCCAGTCGGCGGCTGGGCGTACGGCAGGCCCTTGAAGCTGTAGAAGATGTTGCCGTCAGCGCTGGTGGAGGTCAGACCTTTGACCTGTCCTTCGACGGTAGCTACGATCGGACGGAGGCTGTTGGACTCGCCGTAGACAGTCGAGGCTAGAAAAACCACACACAACACATACCACATGTTGTAGCTGATGGAATCGACCGAGCGGCGATGAATGCGGATCTCGTGCTCTAGGGAGTGCGTGATGTGCCGCCGACCGTCCGCCGTTGGCCCGGATCTACGCGAGACTGGCCGAGTCCAGCGAACCCGCCCGGTTTTATCTGAGCGGCCCGAGCCGAGAGCGGCTTTTAGAGGTGGCTTGGAGCCACCTCTAAACGTTCCGCCGCCGATGGATGAATGAAGTGTAATGTTGCGTGAGCTCAAGTGATAAGTTGTTTTGGTGACGACTGACGAGCTTTGTGTGTGTAACAAGAAAAGTTATCACTATTGCAAAAGGGTTTATCAAGCGTTCGTCATGATGTGAATTATGGATGTTCTAATGTGCCGGTATTTTATAGCATATACCTACCGCATATTTTGTGGCGATGTTATGCACCTACAGAAGTGCTTTCTTTGTCATGCCCTTGAAATGACTGGGCAATTAATTGCGGTATTGTACCACTAAGTCAAGTTTCATTATTTCTGAGAATACTGCATTGAAGGTGTGTAATGTGTCATACTTTCGATTCTGGATTCCAGTGAAAAGCCAGAGGCTTAAATGAAATTATTTGGTTTAGGTATTAAATGGTTTATCGGGAACTGATCGGCACTAAGTCGCCTTATAGTTATAATTGAATCAAATAAACAGATTAAAAAAGGTTAACAAATCCGAGCTTGCTCGATACTTTGGTAGTCTGATGTTTCATGTTATTTTCTCATCAAGGAATAGGTATTATCGTTTAGATGACTATCCAAACGATAATGGTTCTAGCTAAACGATAACCTATGCTCCGTTTAGGTTCCTGAGGTTCATAACACCTTTCACACCTTATCACAATTTTCCTTACTTTGCAGTCACCGCATGTTTTTGTAAAAAAAATCCATTTCAGCTCGCCACCTCCCCAACCCCTCGCCTCCCTACTTACAGCCGGGCGCCACGTTCCGCCACCACTAATTATCCTCTCCACCGCCAGGTGTCAGCACTGTTCCTGCAGCGCCGGGGCCGGACTGCCGTCCGCCGCTGTTCGCCGGGTCTGGGCGACTCAGACCCCGGCGACCTCCCACCAACCACCGAAGGACCCTAGACACACTACCGCCCACTCGGACTCCAAGAGAAGACCCCACAGGGTGATCGGGAAGGAACCCGACTACCTGGAAAGGTCACCGCAATAAGACGCCGTAAGTGGACGTCGTATGGACGAGACGGGCGACTTTTTTGCTCGGTAGTCCATTAGCGGAATTCGCCGGCGAGCAGGGCGCCCGGTTCCTGGTAGCCAGACGTAGTTAGTGTCTGACAAGGTGCTCCTGTAATGGTGTCGCTGACAAGACGCGAACAATGAGCAGAGGAGCTGTACGCGAGGGTAGTTGACCCGATGTGTGCAGAAAACGCGAAGTTTGGCTAATGTAGAAACGGAATGTGTAGGTACCTGATTAAGTATTATCACCTTGGTGTAGTGTGGGGGCACTAACATTACTAACATTTTCCATGTTGCTTTAACCTGAACTAATTAACATCACTGACAACTTTACCGTAGTTCGAACTAAATCTAATTTTACCACAGCCAATAACGCCCACTTAATCTGCTCTGCGCTTCGCTGCATTTGTACCTAATACACTATTTCTGCACGCCCGCTGCTGGTTTCCGGGATGTGCTCGGCGGCGTCGGCTCCGCAGCGCGCGCGTTTCCCGGAACGTGTTCCCGTCTCATTCCTGTCCTCGGTGAGCTCGGTGAGCTCAACAGGTGATCATTTCCGTCTTCCCCCTCCCTCCCTCGGCGCCGGTCCCCTCCGCTATCAGATATTCCGCCATCTCTCGGGCGGGCGCGTCTCCTTCCGTTCGACCGCGCTCAGGAATACATTGATGCGGCGCCGGAGCTCCCTGATTACTTCCGCCATCGGCACGGAAGTCTCCCCTCCCTTCCTCCCTCACGTGCGGCTTCCCCTCCCCTGCTCCCCAGAGGAGATACAGGAGTCACGGCGCACGCGGAACTTTATTGGCGGCGCCAACACATCTCACACATTTCCGTCACAGTTGGCGCGCGCGCGTCGAACGCTGGCGCGCCGCTCGGCAGTTGATAAGCTCTGTCCGGCGGCCCTTTTTGTAAATAGCGTGTTGGCCGCCGGCGCGGGCCGCTAGCTACCGGTCTAGACCTGGCGAATTCCATCAGCACGGGGACGGGCTCACACCCGCCGCGGCGCATCAGCCGCCTATGGAGAGAAGCGTAACGGTAAAAACATCACAGAGACAGCGCCCGGAGGCGCCGGAGGGTCGCGGGCGGCCGGCGCGGCCGGCCGGCCCTCTAGCTGACCGCGCTGCCGCCGCCGGCCCGCGGGCCCTTCAGGTAGTAGGTCACCATGTGGTCCTTTCCTTTGACAAACACCTCGCCGCGCCTCTCAAAATCGAAGCGCGGCGCGAGCAGCAGCGCGCACCGCTGCGTGGTCTGGATGCGGCCCGGCTCGCCAGTCGAGTCCATCCGACTGGCGATGTTGACCGTGTCGCCCCAGATGTCAAAGTACAGCTTCGTGGTGCCGATGACGCCTGAGGTGACGTCACCGATGTTGTAGCCAATGCGCAGCTCCAGCGCGAACTCGAAGAGCGACACGTTGAAAGCCGCCACGGCCTTCTGCAGGTCCATGGCGAATTCCATCAGCTCAAACAGATGCTGGTCAGGCCGCGCCGTGTCGCGCCGCAGACTCGGGTTCAGGCCCGACGCGGCCATGTAAGTACTACCAATCGTCTTGATCTTTTCGACGCTGGTGTACTTATGCAGAAGATCATCCATATCTCCAATGATCTCGTTGAGCACACGAAGGTACTCCTTGCCTCCGTGATACGTCTCATCGTAGAGATCGTTGAAGTTTATGATGCTGGCGAAGATAACACCCACGTCCCGATGGTTCTCCGAATACTTGGCTTTGGTCTTGAGCACGTCGGCCACATGTTCAGGAATGATGTTATGTAGTAGACCGTCTGCCTGCTGCTTTAGGCGTTGGACTTCAGCCTTATCGCGGGCGGCGATCATATTGACGCAGAAGCCGAGCCGATAGCTGATCTCGAACTCTCGGTTGAGGATGGCCACCAGAGCGACGAGCGCGGCCATGGCTGCTGAGAGGTCTGCAGTCGGCAGGAGACGCTGGTCGTCGCCGCAACGACACGCCGAGAAGCCGACCAGCAGGGCCATCGCCAGCGCGGCCACCGCCGCCAGAGCGCTTTTGAGCCAACAGTTGAGCTGCGTGAAGTTGCAGAAGTGGACAAGGGCGACCAGCATGGCCAGGAAGTAGTACTCTGCTCGCTCGCAATCGTCCGACCAGGCAGCACAGGACCATCCGGCAAACACAACCACCGCTGGCAGCGCGGCCAGCGACCCACCGATCACATGGAACGGGTACCAGCCGGTCAGCCAGCAGTAGGCGCGGGCGAACGGCTCCCGCTCATCGCGAGACACTCCAGCCGCCAGCCGCCACCACATCACACCCTGCACCAGCGCCAACCAGGCTGCCAGGAGAGCCGTGACCGCGAACCAGCCGGCCGCGGGCCGCAGCGTGGCAGCTACCGCCACAGCCAGCACGACAAACACTATCGTGGCCACGACCGCATCCACTAGAGTGTTGTACTTGGGCAGTGAGAGCGCGTTGGCGGCCGCGTGGTGTCGGCGCGCGTGCTGAAGCCGGTACTGACGCTCAAAGTCTGCGTTCTTGTAGAAGAGCGTCAGCCGGTTGATGGGCGGGTTGATGAAGTAGTTGGACTTGTTGGACATCTGCTGGACGCAGCGGACCAGTTGTAGGTCGCTGAGTTTTCGCTGCATCAGCTGCTGTGCGAGGAGGTGCTCTGGTTCCTGCTGATCCAGGGCGTCAGCCTCGTCCAACACCCGCTGCATCATGTCTGTCGGCAGACAGGGAGAGGACACGGTCAGAGAGGGCAACTGATGGATAGCCCTGATACTACGGGCCTTCAGGGGAGGCATGGGGGTCAGGGAGGGCGGCAGCTGAGCTAAGGGGTAGGCATGGTAATACGGGTTACGGGACGCGGAGGTCAGGAAAGAGCGACTGAGGAGCTGGCCTGCTTCCACGGTTCATCAAAAGACGCGGATGTCAAAAAGAGAGCCGTTGTGAAGCTTGTCTGGTGTTACGGGTCATCGAGGGACACAAAGGTCAAAGGTGATACGACAATCAGTGATGACGGCTGAGAGTTCGTAATTCTATGGACGATAAAGGGATACACAGAGGCCGTTGGGGGATTATTACAAAGGGCTTGGCGAAATGACGTAATTCTGTGGACGATATAAGGGATACACGGAGGAGGCCTTTGGGTATAACATCTGATGGGTTGCATCAACCCTGTGATCGGTAAAGGCAGAAATAGGCCAGGAATATCGTCTGAGGGTTTGTCCAGATAGTGGCCGAGAGCGAGTCTCCGAGACCACCGAGGGCCACTGATGGGGGCGAGGTAAAAGTAGCATTCGGACGATCCGTGGCACGATGAAATAGAACACGGACAGTGAGAATAATCACCAATCAGCTCCCGAGTCGGGTGACGGAAGGACAGAAGTAACCCGTGGAGTGGCCGAGCTGCCGAACGCCGCTGAGACTTAGCGAGAACGGTAAGTCCGAACTGCGGTGCCGCTGTAATGTAGTGCGATCCGACCAGCGCTCAGTAGTTTCTAGAAGGTTAGCCATTAGAAGCGTTAGTCGTAGCGAGTCAGCAGAGCATCACGCCATCTAAAACTCGCACAACTGCACGCCTTGGATGTCTGTAGTATGAAATGCATGTCGCACTCTCGACACCCGATCGCTGGCCCTTAACCCTAGAACGCCTAGGGGGGGGGGGGTTGTACCAACCCCCCCCCTGAGGTTTTTTCGAAGTGCACGCTAAACGGCTTGTCGTAGCGGGCTGAAATTTTCAATACCCTCTGGGGCAACCTTTGCGCATCTTTTGCCGAAAAAAATTGATCGGGTCATGTCAGGTCACGGAGTTATGACGTCATAAGAGGTACAGCCTCCGGCCGGATTTTCACAAACTGAGTGCCAACGCCCGAGGTTTCCTGCCGGTGGTACGGACATCGGTTGATGGATCGTAATGAAACTTCCCATGCATGTTGGGGCAAGTATTGGCTATCATATGGTATAAGAAATTTGACCGGGTCAGGTCAGGTCACGGAGCTATGACGTCACAAGAGGAACAGCGTCCGGTACTATTTTTGAAAAGCGCCCGAACCACTATTTTGCTAATTCTTGTCACCTCAATGGGAATATGCAGCAATATTAGCTTCTATAGGGAGCAAATGGACCTCCCAAATCCAAAAATACAATTAGATTTCAAAAATTTAAATTTGTATTTTTCGAATTTCTGCCGCCGACTGTGACCTTGCCGACTTCCGGCGCTCCCAACGCGCCATTTTTAGAGCTAGGGAAACGAAATACATACCAAACGATAGAGAATTGATCAAGGAACACGATAGTGAAGGTTTCAAGTCGATATCTCCCACCGTTTTGCCGCAATCGCCGCCGAAAGTTGAAAAAAGTCTATTTTTCCGAAAATTTGACCTTTGACCGGTCAAAAGTAGGTCAAATGTTGACCTAGGACCAAAAAATATACCACCAATCGCGAGATCTCGTTGAGAGCAATCCGTTGGTTTTTTCCGCTAAGCTCTACGACCTTCCGTTTCGAAACGCCAGGGGGGGGGGTCGTAACAACCCCCCCCCCTGGTCGTTCGTGTTATGAGAAATGGCCTGGTCGTGCGAGGGTTAATACGTTTCATCTAGGCTTTTATATAATCTTGGACTTACATAATATTTAATTGGGATACGATCGCTCTCGGCGCTGTTCTGCTCGACTTTCTGCTCTGCTCGAGGAATCTCTACAGACACAGGCCATATGATATTCTGATTGTCCTTACGCCGTAGCAAGCTTTCACTGTTATAAAAAATGCATATGAAAGTAGTTTGGCCAGCGTATTTTCGTTTGGAAAAGATGTTAGGTACCGCACCATGTGAGTCGTTATTCGTTCTCGTGCGTAAATTGGAGTGAAGACATGTTTTGCATATTGACTACAGTAGTTGTGACCCAGAAACATGAAGAAATATGTGAATTGCATTGTATTTTTCAGTAGTGACCGATCGTTCGTTTGTTTCAGCTGAGGAGCACGATCCGGTTCAGGATCACTCGTCAACTCTGAACGTGGAACAAATCGAGACCCGAGTGAAAATTTGAGTCCAGTGAAGTCCGTCCCACTGAAGACCGAACACAACCAGACTACATTAACCAATGTTAAGTGCTGTTCAGTACATATGTCGTGCATTGTAGTCGGGTCTCGAAATCGAAATTGATCGTCCGGCTAGCCGCAGGCACAGGTCGAAGAGCCAAACTGTTTTTAGGACCTTGAGCGAAACCATGTCCTGAAACTGAATACCGCGATTTCAATCAACTTTGTCATGTGTAAGGAAAGAATTGTGCGTTTCTTAGAGACGAATGGTTTGGATTGGTTGGGCGCTTTGTGTTCGACAACTGTCCTCGCTTTGCACTTTGATTTTATTAGAGGTGGAATATTGTCGTGTGTTGATAATGATGGATAAGGGCGCATAGCCAACCGGATCCGAGCGTCCGGCTTCGCTGTAGCCGTGTTCATTTGCGAT